TCCCTGGGCTTGTGAAACCCCTGGTCCTACTCTCTGCCCCTCCTCAAGCTTTGGGCCCGACTTCTAGCGTGACCTGCTCCTCCTGGGCACTTTGCCTCTCTTGGCTACTCCTGGATGCAGCCATCCAGCCTGGAGTCACCTTCCTTGCCCCTTTTTAGACATCTGGTCTCACTCTCAGCTCCTCCCTGGGTCCCATCCCCACTGTGGCCTGCTTCTCCCAGGCACTTTGCCCCTCTCAAACAATCCTGGGTGTAGCCCTGTGGCCTAGGGTCACACATTCTGCCCCCTTCCAGGCCTCTGGTCTAACTCTCAGCCCCTCTCTGGGCTCTTGGACACCCTGGTCCCACACATGGTCCCTCCCTCGGCTCAAGGACCCTCCAGTCCGGCTCTTAGCTCCTCTCTGGGCTTCTAGCCCCTAACTGACCCCCTAGGGAGCTCCTCTCCCACTTAGTCCCTTCCCAAACCTCCAGACTGCCACAAGCTGTACACTCCATGTTGGCACTCTGGAGCTGCAGTCATCCAGCTCAGGAGACATTTCCTCAGCAGCCTCCAGGATCTTAATTCTGGCTCAACTCGGGCCCTGTGCTTATATGCTGTCTAAGGCCCACACTCCTCCTGGGTCTGATGACTCCACAATCAGCCATGGCTACACCTGCAAGCTGCTTCTCAGGCACGGTCCCCAATCGCTATCCTGCTGCACCTGTAGCCTGCCTCAGCCACAGCCACAGCCAACCTGCTCTAAAAGTAGCAGGAGCTCCAAGCCTCATCCTACACCATTTGCCATGGAAAAAAGTACAGAAAAATTCAGAATTTGAGTTTTTCCAAAGAATCTTTAGAATCGTTGTGGGGGGGAAAAAAAATTAAAACTTACTGAAAGCAAGCACATAGGAAAGCAGCCAAGCACATAGGAAAGCAGCCAAGATGGGAGCTTCCCTGTGAGAGGGGCAAGCTTTTGCACCCAGTGCAAGTACTGGCCTGCCTCCCATCTATGGGCCAGCTGCCCACCTCACTTTAATAGTATTAAGATGTTAATCAGGTGGGAGGCTGCCCATTTTGAACCCTGATGTTTAAGGGGATACCCACAGCTCCATTCCACCCTTACACTGTGGCCCAAGCCTCACAGATGGCATCCCAGGCAGCTAAATTCAGCCATTCCCTTCACCCATCAGCTGTGGTCTCCACTCTGAGACCTTTGGCTCCCCCTTAAGCCCTGGCCCTGTCTCAGGCCAGTCAGGACTCTGAGCTTCTTTGCTCTGTGGGCATCCCTTGTGGCGGCCCCATGGCCCTTTTGACTCCTCTCTGGGTCCTGGTGCCAGCATGGACCAGTTGGGTACCTTGGGTCAGGTCTAAGCTGCTTGCCTGGCTTTCAGGGATTGGGGGTCCCCCATCCCAGGCTCAGATGCCTCGCAAAGTGTGCCTGGCCCCACAGGATCACTCACCATGGCAAGCTCAGGCACTTCCAAAAGCTTACCTGGCTTTCCCTGCATTAAATAACCCACCTGAGGGTGGGAACTGAGGTTAAGGAGCCCCAGCCCACCTTACACCGGGGAGGTGCTCACTCCTGGCATTTACCTAGGGGCTGCCACACCACCAGCATCCCCACCAGGCCTTCCTGCCCTGCAGGGTGCAGTTTTAGGTCATGCCCAATGACCAATGAAGCCTCCAAGCCATCCCCATAGCCTCACCCTTATCTCCAAGGTGTTCCTAGTAGAGTTCAGCAGAGATGTTTCTTCTATATTGGCTGATCATACACTGCCCTCAGCTCAGGGAGCTGGGGCTTAAAATGGCCACCTTCATCAGGCATCTGCCCTTCCCTGGCCCAGTCCTTCAAGTGGCAGGCACTACCATTGCCCTGCGACATGCCCCCTCCTCCCTCTGCTGCTGATTGGCCAAGAGGGGTGACCATTGTGCAACTGTGCCCCACCCTTCTCCATCAATCAGCAGTGAGGGTTGGGGCTGCATGAACAGCAGCCCTCTGAGCCAATCAGCAGTGAGAGGTAGGGCTACCACCAGAGCCTCTTGGCCACTCAGCATCATCAGGGTGGGGGTGGGGTGGAGGGGAGTTCGCTGCAAAAATACCATGGATTTTAATGTATATTTATCAGAGAATTTGGGTTTTTTATCACAGAAAACTAGGACCCCTGGTGATAATGCACCTCACCCTCTGCACCCCTCTTTTCAAAGTTCTAGGTCCACCCATGGCCTCTTTTATGAGCCTGCTCTATTTTTGTATTGTTTTTCACAGATAAAAAATGGCCTTTTTGCCTAATATTTTTCCTGTTATTTTTCATTTATTTTAAATACCTATAATCCCCTGCTGCCAGGGCACTGTGTCAACTTGGAATAGTATAGAAATGTGAGTGAATCAGAAAGAAGGACTCGAGTATGTTCAGCCAGTCTGATGATAAATGAGATATAAGGAGCTATGTAGAAAAAAATGCAGAACATTGTCATATTTCAGGAGAGTTTAGATCTGCCTCTTTAATGTATGTAAATCAGAATCCTAAATCGAAATTCCCCTGTACTCGAGGAAAGTTTGAATTTTGATCAGAATGTCATGACTCCTCTGGCAAATATTCAGTGTCCTTTGGAGGAAAGAATTGCAAGAATCTTTAATTAATTAGATTTTAATCCCATGAAAAAGTATGCCAGCATTAGCAAAGCCTTTGATAAAGGAAGCAGACCACTCATATATATTTAAGAGGTAAGTAAGACCCAGCTAGTTGAAGGGCCACACACAGGTTTGGTGACCGGTATCCATTTGTGATTGCTGTCTGTTCTATGCCTGGTAAGAGCTTGCTAGTACCATCTCTGCTTGCCTTCTCCTTTTCCAGAGAGTCCCATTTTATGGGGGTTGCTGTAGTGCCCACAACATGCCAGCAGCTTTTCAAACACAGAGAAAGACCTTGTTCCAGCTCCAAATAGCTCCTGAACCAAGCAAGAACATTTTTCCGAAGTTTACTTTGAATAATAGAAATGAATGAGTTTTGCAGTGAGCAAAAAATAAAAGTATTTCTGCAGTAAGTCTGTGTCTTCACTACATGCCCAAAGGTATCAGATGTATATGTTCTGGGATTTGAGCTTAACTTGTCAGCAGCACTGCTGGGTTGATGGGGAAGGGAACACAACTAACCAAGAATGCATCCTCACCTGAAAAGTTAAAGTTATTTGAGATATATCAAAGACATTCAAGGAAAAAAAACAACAATATTGAATCCTATTTGGTAGATATAAAATTCCAGTCTAAACATGGTTACTACTAAAATAGTTTCTCTTGTCATTGATTTGGCATGCATTGTAGAAGTGTGATCTTTTGCAGGACAGGCTCCCAGCTCAATAAAGCCAGAGGGCCAGCCTGTTTCCTCAGCCTAGAAAGGGTTATCATCACATCCAGAGACTCCACAGAGCCTTTCCTCAGTGTTTCATTTACTAGGGACACCACCAAGCTTCAGCAAAGCAACCCCTCCTCCCTTTCCCACCAAAAATACAGATCATCATAAATCCAATAATGACCCATCTGTTGCCTGAGGGGCTTTCTTGCCAGAGCCTTCCTTCCCATAGCAGCTCTTCCCCAGCCATTTCCCCTCAAGATCCTCCTGTCCCAGGGCTTCCCACAAGAGACAAGCTGTTTCCTATAACCTTCCCCACCACTCAGCTCTTTCAGCTTTTATAGGAATCAGGTGCTCCTTAGGCAATCGCCTAACCTCTTTCTTGGCTAGGTCTGACAATCTTCTCTCTCCAGATGCCAAACACCTGTTCTATATCCTTATATCCTCAAACAGAGCCAGCTGGTCCCAAGCCTCCTGCCTCTGAAAGGGGCAGACCACCCTATTATGGGGACATTCAGACCAGTGAGAAGCATTAGTAATGAAGCATAAACAAATGGAATTTTTGGACTGATAACACTGCAAAGACATACACACCTTTTCTTCAAGGTATGTCAAAAGAGCACAAAATAAAGAAAGGCTGTGCTGGAATACTCAGCAAGCCAACAAAGCCAGAGATGTCAGCTCTATTGTTTTCCTGCCACTTCCACATTACAGGTGATTGCTAACCTCAAGATACAGAGTTGGCCACTGTGTAGGATAAGTCTGTGAACCATGGTGAACAGCAGTTCAGAGATACTTCCAGCCAGCTGTGAATATACTAGCTTGCCTACACAGAGCAAAAGACAACTGTGTAGCAATATAGCTGCTTTAGTGGGGTGTTGCACAGGCTAATAAATCCTGCTTCTCACCAGAGCTAATCCTGAGTGCAGCCCTGCCATGCACTGTATGGCCATACTTTTACTTTCTATGGGACCAAATAAACATTCAATTATACATGTGGGACAACTTCAGATGAATACTTTGTGGGCAGCTCTCCCTACCCCTCTCAAATAGCCAATAACCCCTTGTTAGGGTGATCATTTATTTACCTTATCTGAATCAGGGTAGGAGGCAGGGACTCTAAGGTAAGACTCCCACATCCCAGTGACTGTCTTAACTACCAAATTCATGGCTATTTGATGCTCTCGCTTTCTTTTATTCTGGCCAACAGTTCCCATCTCAGACCTAGGAGCCAGGCTGATGAAAGCATGGTAAAAAATGATACATTCCTTTCAAACATTTCAGTTTTGATGATCTGGCATTTTCTAGTGAAAAAAATTCCATCATAAATCTGTGCTAGGTGCTAAACACAACAAACACCACCCTCACATAGGAGGTTGGTGCTTCAGTATACCAAGTCTCCTATGTGCTACCACAGTCCAAGTAACTTCTGTGAGGTTTAGTCACCATAGCATTTCCTTTGCACTGAGTTGACAAGCAATGACATGGTATTTGTGTGATGCTGTTTGCCACAGATATAAATTGCATGCCTGTATTGTGACAGTGCACTGAAGACTCAAACCTTCTGGCTGGCAGCCACTTGACATACTGATGTAATAAACAGCAGGGAATCCAATAGGACTGTTTTACAGGGAATATTATGTATAAAAAGTGCTTCTTAATTTATTTCAGAAAACCTGTTTTGGACAGTGCCTGAGCACATGACACAGAAGAACAGGGATGCTGCACCCCAGGAGCTCTTCCTCTGAAACCAGCAGCCAGGAAAGCCAAGCACCATACGAGACACCAGAACTATTTGACCTTCAGAGGCTGTTCTGGCTCAGAGGTGGATCTGACAATCACGTGGACCAAGTCTGGCCAAACCTTTATCTGGGAGATGCGTAAGGGCATATTGTATATGAAGTTGTTGTTTGCACTCTGGAGAGACAGGGAGGGTAGAGGTAATGATGAATTATACAGTTAATGAAATTTCTAATTATGTTCATGTCACGGGAATTCCAAAGCCAATACTGTGACAGGATGTCATGAAAATCTTGGTATGCAAGTGTATGTAGTCCTTGTAGTCTGAATTTCCTGTTTCATGTGTCACAGTGCATTTGAGTAAGACACCCAATTTTTATTATTTGCGTACAATAGTCACTAGGTGCCCCAATCTAGACTGGTGCCCCGCTGTACATATATACCCTGAGACAGTCCCTGCCCTGCACTTAGATAAAGAGTGAGAAAAGGAAGTTATCCCCACTGTACAGAGGTGTCCAGAAAGATTTGAGTGCTAGCCTCACAATTCAGAATCTCCTTAGATGTTAAGGGGTCCTGTAGTTGCAAATACAGACTTTTTAAAATTTCAAAGTCAAAATGTTTTATTATACACATACTGTATACTTGTGACAAAAGGAACCTTGCCTCGTAAAATGACTTTGCCTCTGTCTGTCTTTCCACTTCTATTTATACACTTCTGTTTAGTTATCTAGATTGCCAAAGGAGGATAAGGCAGGGTGCATCCATCGATAAAGATCCTTTTTGGTATTTGAAACTACTGTTTAACCTTGCTATTCTTGAGACCCTAGAGGCTCACTTATTTAAGCATCACAGTTTCCTTGGGTAATTAACCATGTTAGTTTGAAATCAGGCAAAAGGCAAGGTAGAGATGCACCTTATAGGCTAACTATAAAGTACATTATAGACTAACTATGGGGTGCATGAAGAGTGGCTGTTGCTCAAGGATATGAACCTCAAAGCACAAAAGAAAACCATTCCTGCAAAGAGGAAAGGTAACAGAAGGGCTGGCAAGCCCTCCTGGATTAATAGGGACATTGCTGTCCTCTTAAAAAAGAAAAAAGAGGTGTACGCACAGTGGAAGCTAGGAAGGGTCCTCAAGGAGAACTATACAATAGTGGCCAGCACTTACGGAGAAACGATCAGGAAAGCTAACACAGCGACTGAGTTTAGGTTAGCCATGGGAGTCAAGGACAATAAGAAGTCCTTCTTTAGGTATGTAGGCAGTAGAAGGAAAACAAATGGAAGTGTGGGACCCCTGCTTAACACCTCGGGACAGCTGGTAACTGACATTCAGGAAACTCCTGAATGCCCACTTTTCTTCAGTATTTCACCGGACCAAGGGGAAAGACAAGCAAGATAAGGCTTATAGGGGGCATGCCGGGAATGATAGCCTACCCACTGTGGATGTTGAGCTGGGGCAATACCAACCAGAAAAGCTAGACATTGATAAGTCAGCAGAACCAGATGGACTCCATCCGAGAGTGCTTATGGAGCTGGCTGAGGTCATCGTGAAACCCCTGGCAAAGCTCTTTCAGAATTTGTGGTGCACAGGGGAGATCCCTGAGGATTGGAAGAGGGCCAACATTGTGCCCATTTTCAAGAAGGGGAAGAGGGAGGACCCAGGCAACTATAGGCCAATCAGCCTAACCTCTATCCCAGGGAAAATCCTGAAAAAGCTCATTAAAGAATCTATGTGCAATACACTTGTGGAAGGCAAGATTCTGAATGACAGCCAGCATGGCTTCATTGTGGGTAGGTCTTGTTTTACCAATCCCATTTTCTTCTATGACCTCATTCCTCACCACCTGGACAGGGGAGACAAGGTAGACATTATATACCTAGACTTCCAAAAGGCTTTTGATCTAGTATCCCACGATATCCTTGTGGGAAAACTGGAAGATTGTGGGTTCAGCTGCTTGACTGTTCAGTGGGTGGAAAACTGGCTACAGGGTAGGACCCAGAGAGTTCTCATGAAGGGATCTGTGTCATCCTGCTGCAAAGTGGCCAGTGGTGTCCCTCAGGGGTCCGTGCTTGGACCAGTACTTTTCAACATCTTTATCAATGATTTGGATGGGGGAGTGAAAAGCTTGCTGGCCAAGTGCGCAGACGACACCAAGTTATGGGGCAGTGTGGTCACATCAGAAGATAGGTTGTAGATACAGGCAGGCCTGGACAGGCTCAAGAGTTGGGCAGACAGGAACCAGATGAAGTTTAACACTTCCAAGTGTAAGGTTCTCCATTTGGGTGCAAACAACCCTCAGCATACACACAGACTTGATGGTGACAGCTTGACTTGCACCATGGCCAAAAGGGACGTTGGGGTAATGATTGACTATGGCATGAATATGAGCCATCAGTGTGAGACAGTGGTCAGCAGGGCAAATAACATGCTGGCATGCATCAACTGATGCATCTTGTGTAAAACTAAGGAAGTGATACTCCCACTGTACTCAGCACTGGTGAGACCACAGTTGGAGTACCACGTCCAGTTCTGGGCGCCTGTCACAGGATGGGGTCCCCAGGGATGTCTGTGATACCCCTGGGGCCCCATTAGCCCAGTATGCAGCATATCAGGCAGTCCCTGCATCCCTGGGCAATTCTTACCTGGAAGCTCCTTCTCCTTAGCTGCTGCCAGAGAACTAAACCTCTAGCCCCAGCCCAGGGGTTTATATATGCCCAGGGCCCTGCCTCTTCCGGTCAGCTGACCAGGTGTAGGTGCAAGCTAATTTGCTTATTAGCCTGTTGCCATAGTAACCTGCACCTGTGGGCTTCTGTCTGGCTCTTTGGGCTCTCTCCCTAGGCAGTTTTGCTCTTAGAAGAGCAGGCACCTTAGTGCCCTGCAACAGTGCCACACTTCAATAAGGACGTGGAAAAACTTGAGAGGGTCAAGAGAAGAGCCACCCATATGATCAGGGACTTGCAAGGCAAGCCATATGAGGAAAGGCTGAGACACCTGGGCCTCTTTAGCCTAAAGAAGAAAAGGTTGAGAGGGGACTTGATGGCAGCTTACCGTTATATCAGAGGAGTACATCAGGAGCTCGGTGAACAACTGGGCATCCCCAGAGAAGACCAGGACCAATGGATACAAACTCCTGGAAGGCCGCTTCAGGCTTAATACCAGGAAAAACTCCTTCACAGTCAGGGTGTCCAGACTGGAATAAAATCCCTCCAGAGGTGGTGCAGTCACCTACCCTGAAGTTTTTCAAGAGGAGAATGGACAAATCACCTCACTGGGGTCACCTAATCCCAGTTGTCTTCCTGCCTAGAGCAGGGGAGGGGAGGGGAGGGGAGGGCTGGACCCGATGATCTGCAAGGTCCCTTCCAGCCCCTAATAATCTATGAATCTATAAATAAGCCTTCTTGAACCTGAGCTTACTTAGTCAGATGGAGTGTGCTTCATAAGGTGCATTTCTACCCTGTCTTCTGCCTAATTTCTATGTGAGATAACTTAATCCTATTTTTCAGATGGGAACCAAAAGATACATGGGAATGGCCAAGATCCTATACTGAATCAGAAAAAGGACTGGAATCTTAGAAAAAGGCACTTACCCTAACTGGTTCTTCAATATGGTTTATCCATGTAGACCACACCTCTGAGGCTCATATGTGCCCTATACATTTCGTATTTCTCACACATTGGGCAAATGTTCATCAGAAGTAGAATTCATTGGACAGAAGCTTGAAGGAGAGCCTTGATTGCTAGTCCACTCTTCTATCCACTGAATCACATTCTCAATGACTAGCAACAGAGGGAGTCACTTGAATAGTTAGTATTCTCTGTAATGGGTCTATACTTGTGCTGCCCCTTCCTCTCTGTAATACCATTTCACATTTTCCAGTAGGCATCTCTCTAAGACAAGCAGGTGCAAGGCAGTTTGGAGTCTAATAGTCATCTGTTAGTCATTCACTGCTCTGTAAAGGAAGCTGAAATGCTTGCATTTTTCCCCAAGGCGATTGGGCACCCACATTAAACAGTTCTATTTTAATGCAAAAAGTCAACAATGATCTCAATGAAACCTTCATCATCTTTCAACAGATGGGCTGCTAGAAGTAAAGCAACTCTTCAAAGCCTTAATATTACTCACATCCTAAATGCAGCAGATGGGCCATACAGTATCAACACAGGAGCCAGATATTACAGAGCTCTACAAATAGAGTACTATGGAGTAGAAGCATTTGATGACCCTTCCTTTGATTTAAGTATCTTTTTCTATGATGCTGCTAATTTCATACACAAAGCCTTAAACACACCAGGAGGTAAGGAGGTGGCAAAAATGTGTTTGCTATGTTGAGGAGCAAGATTCAACAACAATGTCAATATCTACTTCTTGTACTAACAGCTGGGGAGTCAGACCCAGATTCAGCAACACGCTTAAGCATATGTGTGTCTTCAAGTTGCATCCATAAGTGCTGTGCTCTGGAGAAATGGACATAAGCACTTCAAGTTAGGCACATGCTAGAGTGCCTACCTGAATCAGAGCCTATAGCTCTGCTTCATACTGACCCTGAGAGACAACATATGTCAATGAACTAACTCAGATGTCAGGGCCCAACTCACTCAGATAGCTAAGGACAAAAGTATTTCAGTTGGAAATGGAAATTTTGCTATTTAGAAACAGAATTGGTAGTTTGGTTACCTCTTTTTCCCATTCTTCTCTATGGGCCATGTTTTCCAATTGCATTCTCTCTCCTGCTGCAACACAATTGCCAAGGATTCCTACAATGCACTGCTTCTAGATCCAAAAACTAGGAAGCCTGTAGCGCATCATAGGAGATATAAGTTCTCCCAGGGACCCCAATCTGTAGGAGACAAGGGGAGCAGGAGGTATTTAAATTCTAATTCCCAAGAGTGGCCAAAACAACAATTTCACGTTGAATTTTTCTGCACAGCATATTTCACTTGTAACCAGACCACTTTATATTCAGATTTCCAAGCCAAAAAACCCCCCAAAAAGCAAAAACCATTGTGGAGGAATAACTCCTGCTTTTAACCAGCCCTATGACAGAATTAAAAATATTATCAAGGAGGCCAAGGCACTGATTTAAATTCTAAGGCCCATAAACTCCCAAGCCTTTGTTTAGTAGTATAGCTATTGGTGTTGTTGACCTGTGGGCAACTGGAAAGCTTCAGTGTCCAGAACCAGCACAACATTAGTGTGTGCTGACAATCAATGACTATGAGGTTTCAACTGATTGTCCTAATTGATTTTTGACATCCAAAACTGGTCATTTTTCCTCCTTTTTGCTTGTCACCGTATGAGTTCTAAAGCCCACCAGTGTGTGTTCTCTATTTCTTTACAGGTAAAGTGTTTGTCCATTGTGCCATGGGGATAAGCCGCTCAGCATCTCTTGTGCTTGCCTTTTTAATGATCCATGAGGATATGACACTTGTAGATGCTTTGAAAACAGTGAATTCTCAAAGGGAAATCTGCCCAAACACAGGATTCCTGAGCCAGCTCCGAAACCTGGACATCAAATTAAATGAAGAAAGGAAAGGTGTCAGGAAATCTGCTTGCAAATAACCATGAGAGAGCCCTGCAAAGAGAAAGTCTGAGAAATTACCATTGTCTTGTATAGCTCTTAAAAATTAATCCCCTTCTACAAAGTAAGGTGTAAATTAAAAATACAGTGTAACACATATTCTACTTAGAAATATTTATTTGATCATGTTTTCTTTACATTTTTTGAAGCCAACATGAATTTCACCAATAGCTCAGTTAAGGATGAACCTTTTCATTCTCCACACTAAATGGTTATAACATACTGTGGTTTTCTGTTGAATGACTCTCAAGTTCCATCCCAGAGGTGGCTGCATTTCATCAATGGGTGAAGCTTATATCAGTCTGCAAAATATTAGGATCTGTGGAATGAAATATCCTATGTTATCATCCTTATTCTTGAACACTGCCTGCAGGCCCCAGTCAAGGATTGGAGCTCCATTGTGTCCCACCCAGAGGACTCAGGGAGATTCCACCTTATGGAATCATTAGTATTTGGGAACTTTATTGTTGGCATCTGTTTGTTATAGGTTTTGCAATTTATGCAGCATTGAGTCCCTTGGCTGGGAAGAAAAGGCTTTTTAAATATAGAACAGCTGGGAAATATTGCAAACCACTCTCTTAAGAAATAATCTCAGTCTGTTGCCAGTGTTCCTCCCCCTACCTCTTCATCAAGAAGGTTCCTTCATGAAAAGATCTTAACTTGAATGGGCATTCATCTGCTCTCTGTTCCCTCCCCAAAGTCAAGTGGTTGCCATAAAAAGCGTTCATGCCATTTTGAAGAAGAAGCTAAGAGGGGTTCTCAGCTGAGGTGCTAAAAATACTGCACTGACGCCAGAAACACGTTGAAAAAATTCTAGCGTGTACTGAAACCAACTGAGAATCAAGGGGCTCTTGTGATGTTTGAGTGTCTGAAAATGATCCAGCTTTCTTAAAAATAAAGAAGTTGCTGTTTTCCCACACAAACATGAAGATTGCTTGTGTGGGAAGTTGATGCATCTTTACATCTGCCTTGGTGTAATGAAAAGGAATGGAAGTGAAAATAAGTGCAAAGTTTTCCTGTTATATCAGTGGGCTACATTTGGGTCAGCCAACCAGCTAATGTGCCTTGCACTTACATGAATTGGCAGTCTCAGTCCAACATGAGTAGACAAGGGTCCACAATCACACCATTAAACTAGCACCAGAACTGACAGTGAGGGGTGTCCTTGGTGCCCATTTCAGGAATGAACAAGCGCGGATACACCAAACCACACAGCAGTGGTTACTCAAGAACAGAGCAATGACAGATTAGTCAGGCACCATGGAGAAGGAAGCCTTGCCACTTCCCATGCTGTCCATAATGCAGATTCCAAGCTCCAGTGCAGTCAGTGTGTAGAGCCTTCCCCAATTCTTTTTGCTTATCAATAGATTCTAGGAAAATTTGCCCTTGCCTATTTCTTCTTCAAGGGAAGAAGAAACCTTTAAGTATAATGACTCAAATCTAGTGCAGCACTCTCCTTGACTTTGGTGGGGGCAGTCCTTTTTTTGCTCTGACATGGGTGCTGTCATTGAACAGCTTTACCAGCAGGATTCTACTGTTTGTCCACAGAAGGCCCAGGAAGATCTTTTTTTCCAGAGGGCACCTAAAAAAATAAGATTTGTGAACACAATTAAATTTCATTTTTTTGTATACTCTGACAAGCATAACGGAGGCACTGAAAGATGGGACAAGGACTATTTAATGAATTTAAATTTAATCTGCAATTTATCTGAGGAAATGACATCTCTGCATGCCAGAGCTGCTGTGGTTGTTCATTTATATGATGGAAGAATTCTATCTGGCATACCTGTGATCATTTCACTTAGGCCTGCTTGTTCTTTTCCCCTGGAAAACACCCTCCTGCATTTTCCTAGATCAGCTAGTGTCTTGGACAATGCTTGCTCCATCACCCTATTAATAAATTCTAACTTGATTATTTATAGGAGTTGTTGACATCTTACAATATGTTCCTATAGTAAATAAACTATTTGGGGAATGGACTTAACCACCCCCCTCCAAAAACCCTCATGGGGTGCTGTGATCCTATCCCACCAGTAGATGGCAGTAGAAACCAAGGGCTGAACTAAGGCGCACAAACCAAATCCTAGGGAGGCGGTACACGGCACACTTAAAATCCCACACATGCTCCTCAAGTATTTCCAGCTCTCATTTAGGAAGGTGAATCACCACATCATACTGAACGCCTTCCACTAGGGCTTGAATTACAGCAACTTGGAAATCATGAGAACAGCTTTCTTGTTTCACTCTGATTTTTTTTTCAAAGAAAGTAACAATATGACCAGAAGAGGAAGATAAATGTGCTGTACAACAATATAAAGATAAAACAATTAATAACTCTTCCTCCATCGGAAAGCTGTGTTTTACTTAGGGGACTGAGGTGCAGGACCCTTCCTGGGATTAATGACCAGCTGTGAGGAACAGATTGGCCAAGTCTGCACCTCTGGCTATTAATTCCATCTGGTCATTAATCCTCAGGAAATTCCCTGCATTGAACTCTTTATTGCTAGTTTAATCTCAGGTTTTTTAAAAAAAATCCTAGGAGCATGCGGCTTTTTAATGACAGTTTCCACAGACAGTACTGTACCCCAAGCATTCCAAGGTAATTAATAACCTAGCACCTTACCCAGTTCCATTGGATGCCTATTTGCAGCACCTCACTTTTCTCATTGCTTGCTATTTATTCAGTGGCTGTTTACTCAATTATACAAAGAACTGTACATATAAAAAGGGCACAATTCATAGCTGGTGCAAATCAGTGTAGCTCCACTAAAGTTAGCAGAACAACCCTTGTTTATACCAAACACAACTCTGGTTCCTTTCAAACCTTAGCTTCTCTCTGTTCTTGCCTTTCACTGGATGCTGCCTGTAGATCCACAGAGGGAAGGAGATCATGGTTTATAATTAACGCAATTAAAAATAGAAGTTGAATAAACTGAACGCAGCAGTTGTGTAACTAACTCCTTAGGAGGAAACGAAGTGGTATAATTCAAACAGAAGTAATCCAAACCAGCACAGCAAAGGAGCTACAACTTCAAGGCAAGTACTTTTAAGCTTGTTTACAAACCCATGAACCCCAAACTTAATATGCGTCCTGAGCAGCGTGAAAATTATAGCCAACTATGTGAGTAGTGGAACAACTGCAGCTCTAGGCCATGTTATTGTCTGCATCATCATGCTCAGAAACTGTACTGTTTGGGGTGTTATTTTCCAATTAGGAGTCCCAGGACAAGCAACATGCTTTCAAAAAGATGCTTAACATTTGATTTTTTTTTTCATTTCCAGTTCAGCTAGTATTTAAGGATATAGATATTTTACCCAGTAATAACAAACTTAAAAAATTCTATTGGGATTTTACTGATTCCCTGATGATGTTCATAAGAGTCTTGTCTGCAAGGCAGAAACTGGCTGATTGCACTAGAGAATCCATGAAACACATTATATACAAAATTTCATCAAATTTAGCTGGAAGAAGAGAGAATGGTTTGTTTTTCTTGGCTAACTCTGTATAATTTTACACATATTAAGGGTTATTTATAATCAGGGGATAACTTTCAGACAGAAGTGTGATTTTTGCCTTGGCAGCTTCCCTTAGAAGCTGTGGTTACTGACAGAACTGCATATATTGTAGGGCTGTGAAAGCCACTATGACTTTCCAGGTAGTGGGAATAGCAATGCACACCCACTGCATCTTGGAGAGCAAATAGCATAGAACTAGGAAACTCACTTAACTAAATCCCTGATAATTGCCTACCAGCAGATATGCATGTCTACATGGGAAATTACACTCAAAACTTCCAAGATAAAAAGGATGGTGTCTGTCTGTTTATAGCATTGCCTCACTATGGCAGGAATTCAGAGAAAAATTCCAACTCAGCATGCAGGACTCTCCACATCTGCTCCTGTCAAGATAAAATCATGGGTGATTTCAAACCCCCACCCAGCTCCCTGCACCACTGCAAGGAAAGACACTAGCATGGTACCATTCACTTCCCACCACCCAGAGGACTCAGGGAGATTCCTCTTTATGCAGTTTGCACTAGGATAGGAGGAACAGCTTGAACCAGAAGCAGAGAGATGCAAACCACTTCCCCCTCCAGCCCCATCAAATTTGTCCCTATAATATGAAACTGCTTTACCTTCTCTGTGCCCCTTCTTGCCCACCACAAGGTTTCCCTAGGCCAGGACATACAGAGATGAAGGAGTGTCTAGTACCATGGTGCCACCAGAGCCAGACTGCCAGGAGCCAAAGTGGGTGGACAAGAACATGATCTCTTTAGCCTCCTCATCTTCTGTTACCTCTGGAATCAAGCCCTATGGCCTTTTCCAGAGGGGACAAATATCCAACTTGACTAGAATTATGAAACAGTCTCTTGGAGGGGACTGGGTCCTACAGGATTGCAGAGCACACTTGGTTTTCCATAATCAATGTGACAAATAAAGGCAGTTTTTAATACATCTGGCTACTGAGACTCCTGTACTGTGCTCCTTCTTCTCTTAGCGTCATGATCTTTTCTTCACATCTTCTACCCTAAGTTCTCTCTCAAATGTGGTAGCTTTCCTTCCTTTGAGAAGCAATATCTGCTATATATTTACTCCATGAGCCTATTTGTTATTCCATTGTCATGCTGTCTGGGAGGCAGGGAGCAGAAGTTGCAGGACTTGACACTACCTTTGAGGTGCAGGTAATAATTGTGTGCATCTGTTGTTGTGATTACTGCTTCAACAGGTGGAAAACACACTGTTCCTCTGATAGATTTGCAGCATTCTGCTTTCTTTGCTTCTCTCTTCTCTAAAGCCAGTCGTGTGCTGTTTCTAAAATAATAAACACAGCCTTACCACTGCCACAAAACCCCTTGGTAAATATATTTTATGGGAATGAAATATTGAAGGATTTGAAGAGTTATTCATTCAAAGTAAAATATGAGCAGTAAGGTTGGATAAGGAATCAAAAGACTGGTCTGCTTCCTTTCCCTTGGGCCCATAAAGGCAGCACTGCCTGCACTTTAGAGATGGATAGTGGGGAATTACTTAACCCAAACTGATGGAAAGAAACAATTCAAACTATAATAATACAGCATGAAAGTTTCTCACATTACATCTATTCCCCACACCCTGGCTATGTTCTGCCCTCACTTGCACATACACAACTTGCATCAGCTTCAGAGGGGAATTGTGTCAGGCCAAAATGCATCTAATTGTCATTCTAAATCATCTCCTAGGTCTAGTTGATGCATTCTATCCCAAAGGACTGTAGATGGAGGTTTTTCCACTCCCCTGGAACATAGAAACATTTCGTTTTCTGGCTTTGCGAAATACTTCCATTTGCAAGAGTTTTGCTTTGAATTTCGTCTTCCTACTTGCCCAAGTTTCATTTTCAGGGTCATAAGTTAATAAATGCTTCCATATTTTTCTCTTCATGTCATAAAACTGACCCAAGCTTCTCCAAAAACACCATATACCCTTCCCTTCCGGGGTTTGTTTGTTTTTTGTTTTGTTTTGGTTTTTTGCCCAATCTGGACCCAATTCCAGGATGTTAAAGAAACTTCCCAAACAGAGACTCAGACTTCTGTTTTCTTTCCCCCAAGTATTTCACCCAGCTTTAGATTTCACTATGAAAGATTCACACTGCTCGAACCCTGGCTCCATATCCCCTCTAATACTTCAGTTCATTTCCTGCACTGAAACCACACAGCACTCCTATGCATTGGCAACGTGTACCCCCTGAGATTGGTGGTGCTCCCCCCTGCGATTGGCCACCACCACTGCCAGTGGTGCCTGCAGGCGGTCACTGCTTGCCACCACCCTCCCCTCACTGCCGACACAGCCAGAGGCGTCTGCAGGCAGTTGCCTATCACTGCTGCCCACCGCCGACACTGCTGATGGCGTCTGCAGGTGGTTGCCAACCTCCAGTCAGTGCTTGTCTCCTCCCCACTGCCGCCACTATCATGGCCACCTGCGGGAGCTCCCCACTCACCACTACCATGTCCCTGTCGCCACCATCACCGCTGCTGCCTGTGGGCAGTCACCATCCCTCCCCAGCCTCCAGGGGCACATGTTGTTGGCAGTCCTGTGGGATGAAGGGATGCATTTATGAAGGGGGTTCAAATTCACTTCCATTCACCCCAAAGGTATGCATCAACACAGGAAATTATATTGTCACCAAAATAAAATAGCTAGGATATCACTGCTGACCCACCAACCTGAAACAGCTTCCAAAAGCAGGCTATAGCATAACTCTGTGTCTACTTTTTATTACAAAAGAGATTGATGTGCTTCTGTTCTCATATTGGCAATTTCCCTTTGTCATCCAGCTTCAAGAAAACTCCATTTAAATTAAGTAACTACCCTGTTCTTTAATGGGAAAGGAAATACACTTTCATCTACATTGTTCTATATATATATATGCATAGTAGATGTTTATAATGTTTTTCAAAATATGCAGTGTTTATTGGAGTAGACCTAACTCTACACTCAGTGACTTCAATAGATTTACTTTAATATAAATGAAAGCCAAATTTACCCAGTGAGGACAGTATGAAAACTTGTACAACTCAGGAGACCTGATCTAGGTCCTGATTCTGTTACTGATTCCATATGAGCAGACTTATCTGACTCATACTATTCTCCAGATTAATATCTTGTATCTCACTCAGTTTACTATCTTTTGCTAACATTTCATGATTACTCTGCTGCTTTTTAATGGAGGCAATAGGATTGGTCTGATGATCCTACTGCTTAGTATTCTGCACTTGGATGAAAAAAACATGGGGTCAATCCCTGGGGTCTTTAGGAATATGATTGACAGGCAGCTTGCATTGCCCTACAGTGATGCCTGAACTCAATCCTACAATATCCCATCCAACCCTCTGTGACAAAAGAGAGGTTACTTTGAATGGGCCTCATAAATGAGATAAGAAAGAAGAGAAAAATGAGATGATTTAAATGTGGGGGTGAAAAGCTCACTGGCCAAGTTTGCGGATGACACCAAGTTATGGGGGAGCATGGTCGTGCCAGAAGATAGGTTGCAGATACAGGCAGACCTGGACAGGCTGGAGAGTTGGGTGGACCAGAACCAGATTAAGGTCAACACTCAGAAGTGTAAGGTGCTCCATCTGGGGACCCACAATCCCCAACATACCTACAGGCTCAGTGGCAACAATTTGACTTGCACCACAGCCGAAAAGGACCTAGGGGTAGTGCTTGACCATCACATGAACATGAGCTGGCAGTGCAATGCTGTGGTCAGCAGGGCAAACAACACCCTGGTTTGCATTAACCATTGCATCTTATGCGAAACTAAGGAAGTGATACTCCCACTGTACGCCGCACTGGTGAGACCACAGCTGGAATACTCAGTCCAGTTCTGGGCACCACACTTCAACAAGGATATGAAAAAACTTGAGAGGGTCCAGAGAAGAGCCACTCATATAATCTGGGACTTGTAAGACAAGCCATACGAAGAGAGGCTGAGAGGGGACTTGGTAGAGGCTTACCACTACATCAGGGGAGTACATCAAGAACTCGGTGAACGCCTGTTCCCTAGGGCACCCCTGGGGAAGACCAAGAGCAATGGACGCAAACTCCTGGAAGGCCGCTTCAGGCTCAGTTCCAGGAAAAACTCCCTCACAGTCAGGGTGTCCAGACTGTGGAATAAACGCCCTCCAGTGGCAGTGTAGTCACCTACCCTGGAAATCTTCAAAAGGAGACTGGACAGTCACCTCACTGGGGTCACTTGATCCCAGTTCTCTTTTCCTGCCTAGTGCAGAGGAACTGGACCCAATGATTTACAAGGTCCCTTCCAGCCCCTAACTATCTATGAATCTATATAAAACTCCTTGTCATCAGTTAAACAACACTCCAATCCCACTTAAGCTATGTATTCTCCACTAGGACTTTCTTCTCACAAAATGCTGTAAGTGTAGGCAAAATTCAAATTCTTTTCCTCCAAATACTATTTGAGTTTAAGAAGAGTCTCCTTAAACTCCAACAGTATAAGGTATGATAGCTGCTAGTGGCCTCATGCCACAAGACAGAGATGCTTTTCCAAAAGGTCAGATATTTTAAGCAAAAAGGACAACCACAGTAGTGAATGCATCATCTCCTGATTGTGTGTTAACTATTTTTGGTAATAGTTGATTAGCACATCACACAGTTCTTTGTGTAGATATCATTCCTTTACAGAGCAAAACTTGTTCTTTTCTTATATTTTGCTTATACATTTGCAGCTTTTTAAAATCATTTTTAGTCACTTTAGAAATATGGCAAAATTAGAAAGATTTTTAATCCAAAGAGCTAGCACAAATGCTAGAAAATTCTGGCTAAGTACAGGTGTTCAAGAAGCCCATGGAGGAAGCGCTCTAACTTTCAAGCTTTATTCTAAGCACCCATGGACTTGACAGAAATGGCAAGAACATGTCAATTACGTGGATTTATGATGCCATTGAATGGGACATGCTTTCTTAAGTGCCCAAGAGAAGGTGGGGGGTAACTGGAACCTTGGCTGGGCTCCAGATGTCAGCAGGGAAGGGCAATGGTAGGAGGAAAGCAGGTGATTCACCCTCCTGCTATGACGCAGCATTCCCACTGCTCTGGCCCAAACACCTTTGTGGGCTTCTCAGCCATAATGACCTGAGAAAGTGAAGACCACACGGGGTGGCCTGTGGTAGCCTCAGCTCCCCCCACTGCCTCTTCCTTCCCCCTTCTTCCCCTGTCACGGTTGTGTGGAGTTGAGGCGAACCTTACTGTTATGATTGCATGGTGTCCTCGTGCACGGTCTGACTCATTAGGAGAAGTGTCAGGAGAACTGGCCGTGGGTTCTGAGGGTCGTGCCAGCACAGCGGCCACTTGGCTGGTGCTGTGGGGTGGGGGGTGCTCCTTGCTCCGTGCTTATGGAAGGGGTGCAGAGACATACGATAAGACTTGGTTTGGAACAGCTGCAGCCCCTGTGTGGGGAAGTGTCACGGGGCCTCCCTCCACCTTCTCCTCCTCCAGGCTGCGGGTAACTTCTTTGGAAAACCCCTGGTCCCATGAGTGTCCCTGGTTCCTCACCCCTGTTCTTGGTGAGGAAACAAGACAGGTACCTGTAGAACAGCATGCTCTGCCCCCAGCCCAGAGGCCACTTTCTAGTGGCAAACACACAGTAATAATGTCTCCTCATCAACATGGTCTTGGTGAGACACTGCTCCCAGTCTCTGCTGTGACCCTTCACCTGCATCTCTTGGACAATACTGTTGGACATTTGATGGCCTATTTGGAACTGGTGCTGGATGTATTCCTCCAAGGGGGCAATTGTAAAGGTCTGAGGCTCCTGTGGAAAATACATTGCAGCCAAGCTGCCCAGTACTTGCTTATCCTCTTTCATACTCACCTGCCATGCCTTTGATGTTAAAGAAATCCAAAAGAGAAAGAAAATATTGGGAGGTGGGTCTGCCAGACCTTACTGCAACCTAGTTACCCATCCAGCCTCTTTGCAGGGATCCTATGTCCCCATGCCCTTCCCCTACCACATTAAACGTTCCAAGGTGAAAAACTTAGTTATAGTCTCTGCTTAGTGCGCCTACACAGTCCTATGGGCTACTATTGACTGCCCAATGCCTGCACCATGGACTGTCCTCAATAACTAAGCTTAAGTCTTCATGGGTTCCTAATATCTGGTCAGTCCTTAATTTTACTTCCCCTTCTGACCTCAAGGTAAATTCCTTCCCAGATCGCTGTCATGGCTATCACTTGCGGCCAGTATCCAATTAATTGCCTGAGTCCCAGTGCTACTCCCCATTAACTTCAGAGTACAAACAGCAAACCACAGCCAGCCCGACACACTGCCCTGGCTGGGTTCCTGTGTTCTTTTTCCACTGAGGGAAAAATTCTGTCTCCTCTGAGCGGTTCCCTTTAGTGGGCTTTCTACTTCACCCCTTCTTGCAGGTAACAACCGAGAAGCACGGCACTCACCGGACTGGTTCCTTGTCTTCCCCTTCCAACACTCCCACGCTGGTTCTCAGCTTCAGGTAAGTCTCACAGCCCTCGTTTCCCTCCTGCAAGCCCCGTTGACTCCCTGACTGAGGTCAGGCAACTCAACACACCTCCGTGTGGCAGCATGAACTCCTGCTGGCATCCCCTCTCCAGGGAAAAAACTCTCCTGACCCTCGGGCTTTTAACTTCCAGGCTAGCCACCAGAGCCTTTCAAGGCAGCTTCCAGTCACTGCAGGCTCTGTCACAGACCCAGTGGGAATCAATCAAGCTGCATTCACATGCTGCACTGCTTTATTGTCTTTACTTCACCATACAACTAAGATGCCCTGTTCCCTGCAGTAGTCCATCCATACGCTGTCCTATTGTGATGAGGCATGACTGATGCCCTGTCACAGCGATAATATCCTTTATTTCCCCAAAATGCCAGTTGTGTCCCCATGTTTGTCTGCTGAGAGTGGGCAGACTGGGTTCATCTGTGGTCCGCAGCAGTACCTGTTGGGGGGTCTTGGTGTCCATGGGCGGGTGAAGGTCTGGCTGCAGGAGGTGCGTGGAAGGCTGGAAGGGTGGATGGATGCATGGACAGATGGAAGTAGCAATGGGCATGCGAGGGTGTAGCTCTCACTACATAGTTCTCACTCTCACTTCAGAAGCTTGGGGCCCCTGCTCCCAGTTTACCTGGGGTTGGTTGCTTAGGTTACCTCCAGAATCTCTAATTGTCCAGGGGCTTTCAGCTGATGGCCCATGATTCTGGCAATTTCACCCCCATTTCTCCCTTCCTTGGCTGTAAAATTCAAGGGTCTGCAGCCCACATGCTGCTTTAGGATCATGGAGTGTCTCTATACTCACCCTGGCTTGCAGCTTCAATACCCACCTATAACCAGACCCCCAACACACTGACCTACTTAGTTGATCATCTCCTAGTTACCTGATCAGTGAGGAAGAAGAGCGGGGAGTCAATCTGTACTGAATGAGAATGAAAGGGAAAAGAAAAGGGATAGTAAATATTTAGGGCCCAATACAACCACCCTTACTTTACACCCTTGTAACATAAGTGTAATGTACGTTAGTGGATGTTAGTATAATGTACTCTATTAGTGGGATGTTATGAATTTCAACCCTAAATAGTACTTGCCAAATTTTACTAGATTTCATTTTTTCACTTTCACCTTTTGTTTTCCCATCCTTTACTGGCACTGTACAAAGTCCTTGTTTGGAGGAAATTTCAACATAAATATACATGTCACAAGTGAGGAGACACAAGGTAACATCCTGTCAACTGGCTGTTTTGCATTACTATGAAGTCATTTTGAAAAGGAAGGAGATTACAAAAGGGTTTATGAGACAGAGATAAAGAGAGATCATCTCCTCTCATTACGTTCCATCATCCAGAGCTGTAACCCTTTGGCTAAATACAGACAGCCAAAAAGCCCAAGGCTGAATTAATTAAATCATTGTAGGTTAATCTAAACTGCATAGATTGAACTGTTAAGCAAGTGAACAGACATCCACTTTTGATTCTGGAAAGGCAGCCACATGCCTGCAGTGGCTCAGGCCAGACGCTAGAGGGCACTAGAGCATGCCTCCTTGCTGGGCTGGAGCAAACAGCTTGGGCCAAGGCTAGCCCATCCACTCTGCAAAGGGAGTTTGCGGGGGAGGTGCAAAGCATCCTGGGATGTTGAGGGACTGTGAGTTAACTTGAATCTGGAGCTGAAGAACAGATACAAAAAGAACTATTCTAGTGTCAGACCCAAAACCATGTGCTGGTTCAGATCCAAGGCTCGAATGCAAACACTCCCCTAACTCACCCAAATTGAAATTTTATATTAAAGGTTTTATCCCTTCTCTACATGAAAGTGATTTTTGAATGAACTAGGCAGGTCCAGAGAGTTTTTGGTTCAGAGTTGAGAACTAACCTAAGTCTCAGGCAAAAACAAACTTGGTTTGAACAAGACATCAGGGCATTATAAAATACTTCTGACTATAAGCAGCCGCTTACTGCATCAGATGCATCTGAAATCACTTTGGAGAATACAAGATGGAGAGAGTAGATATTATGAATTGTAGGTACTGGAAACAAGAAATACAGTTTACTTTTTGGTTAGTTTTTTCCTCAGAAAAGCTCCAAAACAAGGGCAGGCTAGAGATGTACCTTATAGATTAAGCAGTACAGTACAAGGACCCAATCCTGCTCCACGTAAAACCAAGTGGGATGTTGGCAGAATGTGACCTACTGCAGGTTGTGATGGGATCTCCTACAGATGTTCATTACGGTGCTCTAACTTACAACACTGAAGTCTAATACCACATCCATCCAGGGTTATGTTAGAGCAGGAGTTGCCATTTTTACAATGTTCTCTGTGCCCTAACCTTGTGTTTCATTACATCTGTAGAAGGCTTTCTGCGTGCCCACCATGCAATAAGTTTAACTTCTGTACCTGGCCACTATGACTACAATCAGCCATGAAACAAAAACTGATCCATTCCCATTTCTCACCCCTACCAAAAGGCTTAGCAGTGAGATTTTACAATGATGGCAAAACAGTTTGCTTAGGTGGGTTGCGGTTTCATCTATTTCCACTGCATCTTTTAGATTGTGTGAGGACAAGACAACAAATCTCAGTCTGTTCAAACTCAGTTTGACCTTTGTACTAATTTGATTTATTATTTTTAGCTCTCAGATGGTGCATTATGTTATACCCAGAAGTCTGATTATAACAGGCCAGTTTTTTAATGATTTATGAGGGGCATCTGGGATCACATGGGTAGCATATGCATCATGCCACTATGATAGCAGCAGCTTTTATTGATCCATACCAATGTTCACAGAGACATGAGAATGTCAAATTCCGATAAGCTTTACTACAAACCTGATTTAACAGGTGGTCAAGCTTGTGCTGAAATTGTCCCTAGCACTTATTACAGGAATAAAACAAAACAGCTGAATCACTTCCATCCGTTGTATTGTAAGATGATTTCCATTCCTTTCTACTGCTCCATTTCTCCCTGTCAGTGAGCAAGGAAATATCTGGCACACTTCCTTTCAAGAAAAGTCCCAGTAGAAAGAACACATGCTATTGGAACCACAGTCGTGAAGGCTCTCTGAAATGCCAACTCTTGGCCTTTGCAAGTGGCAGTCATGCTGTTGTAAAGGTTCAGAAAGCAAACACAGAAGTTGTCAGCACATTAAATGCAGGCTGTTTTGTGACAATGTCTCACAGCAGCAGCAAAATTAATTTTCTACTTTTCTTAAGTCCATCTAGGGGGCTGAGAATAGGACACAGAGAACAAAGTCCTAAAGAATAGGGTGTAGAGCTATGTTTTAGTGCAGAAGGGGGTCATATTTTTGTTTGGGTTTACACATGTAGAATTTGACTGAGTTTTATGATCAAATCAACACATCAACTGTATGTAAAATTCATTCCAAAGCACCATAGTTCTGCCCCAGGTTAAATCCTGGCCAGGCTACTAACTTCTGGCAGGATCTATGGTAAATCACATAATTTCTCCTTTCTCCTACTATAAAGTTGAGCTAGTAGTGTCTGCCTCATATAGGATCAATTTAATAAGGGCTGAAAGGGGCACTGAAGTGCTACAGAAATGCCACTCAGCACAACTGTTGCCCATCTCCTGAGGCTCCCCTTTGTTCCGCACACTCACTAATTTTCCAGACCCCTACCATGTAAATCTAGAGCTATACCAATCCCCTGCTCCTGTATCCAGGTGGTACAGACTGAATGGTACTCTACAGCTTGGAGCAAAGTCTGAGAGTCACAAACAGAGGGCAGTAAAGCTGCAGATAACTCTAAGGGCATTTGTACCTGCCACAGGGGTTTACTTCAGTTTAATTCTCCCTAAATTGAAGCGGTGGCTCTTTGAAAACACCACTTCAAATTCAGGAAGAAGTAAACCCCCGTGGCATGTACACAAGGGTTGGGCCCGACCCTTACCTGCCTCTCAGGTGGCGGGCAGGGGAGGGCGAGTTGCCAGCAGGCTCAGCAATTCCTGAGCTGGAAGAGTGTGGGGGGGCTGGTGCTTCCCTCCACACAAAAAGGCAGCATCCCCCAGGCAGCACCCACCCACAAGCACCTGGCTCAAGCGGTCCCAGAGGACACCACAACTGCAGAGGGAAGCAACGGGCCCCCACGCAGCTCAGACAGACAGGTTCTGGGGAGAAAAAAAAAAGATCAGGCTTGCCGCTTTTTGTGTTTTCCCTCAGTGGAGCCTGCCTGCACAGTCTGCCACGAAGCTGCCTGCGCGGGCTGCCCACACAGCCCCTGAGATGCACAGGGCCCAGTGCTTCCCTCCACAGCAAACTAAACCACCTCAGAGATGTTTTATTTTGCTGCATCCCAAAGTCATTTAATGCGCATTACGCTGCCAACATGTGTAAACAGCTGCACCATTAAAGTGGTGCAAAAGGGCATTATGCTACATTAAAGGCCAATTTTGTGGCGTGTACAAATGGCCTAAGACTGGCATTGCAACTTAACACTTAGTGCAGTTAAACTGTAAGGAAACATATGTTTAAGCAGCTTAGCATGCGTTAAGCCCTCATGGCATAGCAAATTTGCTCCCTTTTGACAAAAGTTTTCTCTTAGGGTGCAGACAGAAGTGCAGCTCCCAGCCATAGCACTGAACAATTTTTGCAGAGCGTTCTAAGTTACAATGTTACCCCAGACCAAACAGAAGTTCACTATTGGTTCCAGGGGGAGGGGAGTCTAGGTGCTGGCTGGGAGCCCACAGGTTCCCATAGCAACAACCACAGCTCTCTGCCAGTGCTCACTGTTTTCAGTACGGGAGGGGGGAAAGGCAGAGGAGGCAGCCCATTCTTGAGGCTCCCCAGGTGGTGCTGAAGAATCGGAGCCCACCACCTTGGGGGCAGGGCTCAAATACACGCACCCCACCCTCTAGCAAGAGCTGAAAAACTCCCAGGCTGGACTTCCTCCACTCCCTTTCCCCACCTCCCATTCTGAAAACAGCAACAGGCTGTTACAAAAGTTACAAAAGATGCTACATTTTGAAACATCTTTATCTGATACCTCCTGCAATGAAGGGTTAGATTTTCACTTGATCAGCCATTTTTAAGCTATTTGCAGCCATGAACTTGTGTTTGGTCACAACTATAAACTTCTTTCTGTGGCCAGATCAGGCAAAAATTGTCACTGCCATCTGTACCTTTAATATATACTAACTGCATGCCAATGAGCTACTCCCTTCATTAGCAGCCTTCTCACAGTTGCAACTGCTCAGGACAGCTGGCTGTCCGAAGGGGACACGCCATACTGTTACAAGTTAATACAGGACAAAAGAGCTTCCCATTGTACCTGCCAAAATAGTTCCTCAGCTGTAAACTCTTTGGGGCAAGAACTGCTTCCTTTAAACCAATGGAACTGAATCTAGGATCTCTGGATCTCAAAGCATGAATTTCTATTTCCCCAGCTAAAACACCCAGCTACCAAAGGTTCATTTACCTCCATATGTGACCTAGCTAGTAGCAGACAGGAACAGAGAACCACAATAAATTGGTATGTATCACAGTTGTGATTTGGACAGTGCTTAGCAGAATATAGCCTTGTACTGTAGGTGCTACTCTAAAAAAAAAAAATTAACAAAAATAAACACAGTTAGGTTTTTTAAACATACTGGGTAATGACTGGCCAAGGTGACCTGCAAAACATGAGAGATGAAAAAGTAGGGAGTAAATCTGGAGGCTAGAGATGTACCTTACAGACTAAGCAGTACAGTACAAGAACCCAATCCTGCTCCACATGAAACCAAGCGGGATGTTGGCAGAATGGATGAGGAATTAGAAACAGTACTGTGAGTGGGCACCCTTTATCGGTGTCCTCCATTCCCTGCACTGTCCTCCTCACTCGGCTACCACACTTAATTAGAGAAGAAATAACAAAATTAGAGAGGCTGACAACCAGATGGTGCAGTGCTAGAAGGCAGATGTTTTGGCCTCTGCTAAAGGGCTTTGCCTCTCCTACACCCTGTCCTGACCCCTCTTGGAGTGAACTGAGGCACATTTATCTTGTTAAGGTCTGATTCTTTGAGTGGAGAGGCAACTTGCCTTGACCCACTTGCCAACAAGTTTACACTCAAAGTTTAGCGACAGTTAATAAGCTTCTCCAGTCTGGATTCTGTTCACTGTCCCGACCGGTGAAGAACAAATCTATAATGCCCCTTTAGTTCTTTTGTCCCCTACTTTATGGCTTGGGTTCCTCAGTCACGATTCCTGGGAAACCTAGTTCCTTTTAGTCTGGATCCTTAGAGAAGCCATTTTAATCTCTGGCCCTCTCCACACTGTTTAAGGCTATCTCAGCCTCCACACACAGTCTTTTCCCACTGAGACTCATCCTCCAGTGCGTAAACACGGTTGCTTCTGGCTCCCTTCTTCCCAGTATAGCCCCAAAGTCCAACTGCTGCCAGTGGGTTATCTCCGGGAGTCACCCCAGCTGATTTCCTTCTGGCTCCCAGTGTTTCCCTCCAGCCAGCATCTCTCAGGTCTCTCACCCTCCTCCGTGCCTCCACATGGATTTGCAGCAGCTCCCTCTTGCTGTCTCTCATTCCCCTTCTGGGGAAATAGCAGCCAGCTGTTTTTCAATAGTGCCTTCTGGCTCTTCTACTAATCAACACTGGCTCCCGCAGCAAGCCTCTGCACTGGCTGGGGAATCCCCTCCTCTTTCCCAGGGGAGTTTGCCATTGCCAGACATGAACTGGCAGGATGGTTCCACCCCAGGTAGGTAACTTCCTGCTCACTTCTAACCCTTAGAACAGGGGCCACAGGTGGACCCCTGTTACAAGTACTAAAGTAGCATGTTCGCCTTCTGTTATCCAGCTAGCTGGGATTTCCCTTTTTCCTGTATGTTGCCTTCTCTTGTTGCACTGGTTGCACTTATACGTGAAATAGTGGAGAAGCAAGTCATCACACTATGTTCTTTGCTGCTACTTTGGGAATGACAGTTTCATCCCAAACACCAATAGTGGCTGCTAACAAGAGAACATTTTCTGCTACTGGAACTAAACTTGTGAGGACAAGATGCTAGCAAACTGCTTCTCCCACCCAGTCATGGCACTGAGGTGCAGCACATCACTATAAATGAAACTTTTTCAGCACCCACAGCTGCACCTGTTTTGAAGAAACTGACCCAGAGGCAGAATATTACCAACAATTTGTGAATGATCCCCAACATGTGCTGCTTCTCTGCCAGAATACCCAAACCAGACTTGCTAATGATAGGCATGAGCATCAATGAGGAGGCAAATAGGTATCACAAGGACAAGGAACTGCTCACCAGTTACTAAAACTTGGATAAAGGAGTCTTGGAATGGCCCTGATATGGAAGAGGTTGAGAGAACCATTGGTTAGTAAAATGGAGCCTGCTGGTAATTGCCTATTCAGAACAGAATCGAAATTCCACATTTGTCTTCCACAAAGCAAAGCTGAGTGAAGCTAGGGAATTGCATTCCCTGCTGAGATTCATTCTGGTATAATATTCCTAAACCTATAATTAAGTACAGGGATGGATCACTGGAAAAATAAAAGGATATACCCCACCTGAGACCTGGATTTGATCTTTCTTATGTTGGTATAAATCAGGAGTAATTATGTCAGTGTAAAACTTCCATCTAGAGGTGAGCTCAGAATGTGACCCCCCAAAATTTAATCTTATCTGCAAAGCAGAGCCATAACAGACACTAGCTTCATTCCAGCAGGAAGTTTGGATTAGGAGGAGGAGATTTTTTGTTGCTTAACTTTGCAGGTTCAAATTCTTTAGTGTGATAAGATGGCCATCTTGAATCTGGGCCAAGGTGAGAGAGAGAGATCTAAATTAGAGGTGACTATTGGCCAATTAAGGCACAAACCTTCTCCAAATCTGCAAGTATTTGGATAGCTGGAGTCCATTACAGAAAGATGAACTTGTCATGGTATTTGAATCCAGATGCAAAGTTTCCCAAAGTTCAGTGGATGAACCAAACATGACATTCCAAACCCAATATTAGAAGTTTCCTGGCTCCCCCCCATTCCAGTCACAGCTCATATGATGATACATGGGCACTAGAAAATTCAGTGAGTAAATGGAGGTTACCTCAGTTGGCTGTTCCTTAGAGATTATCCTGAATAGCTCCATATCCACGCTAGCAAAACTGTGCTCTGCAGTTTCCACACTGGTCTCACTCCTGGAGGGGAGGATATAGTGTGGGTAGGACTTGGGCAGGTCTTTAGCATCACTTTCTCTTTCTAGAGATTTAAAGGAAAAGTGCACATGTTCTCACAATACCTGTCTTGCAAACAGGGGCAAAAATACTGACTGAATGATACTATGAAATTCTCTGAGACTAAATCCTTGTCCTAAGTATCAAGTGAAGCTCACAGCTAAGAGCAGTATTACCACTTCTGTCAACCTTCCAAACCTGAGGGTAGCAGGAAACCCAGAGGAGAGGGGTAAAACAAGCTGAACATGTTTTTATATACATAAAACAATAGCAAGTACCTCTACTGACCCCACAATCAAACCGTCACTTTTGGTTCAGCCTTCCAAAGACCACAGAGTTTGACTGGAGGCCCAGTTTTATGAAAGAACATGAAAGATGTAACCTTACCTGTAGAAAATACAGTATAAACCTTTTCTTCATCTCCGCTGAAATGGGCAGAAGTAGCTGCTGACACAGACAGACGCGCTTTACAAATAAAACATTTGAAATGAGTCATTAGCAGGTTTTCTTGACAATGACTGCAGCAGCTGGGTAATTTTCACATAAAGCACACTGGACCACAGCAATGTTCCTAGTGAACATCATGGAGTCTCTGGCTCCTCTCCCCTATCAGACATAGGAGATTCTCCTTGAAGTAGGATCAGTGTTTTCTGGGTGAGTAAAAGATGAGTAGTTTGAACTTTTGAGTGTCACAACAGAAAAGCTTTATCAGGAAGGGCAGTCCTGTGGCCAGCCCTGCTGTTCTGTAGGCCATGCCCTGGCCTACTCTCCTTTCAGAGGTTCTCATCCCGGGCTGTGTGCTTGGCATGGTTACCAAAGAGCTCACTGTGCTGGTATTTCAGCAATATCACTAAAAGCTAAGCTGTTAATAGCTTTGAAGAATGAGACCAAAGCCTTACAACAGGAGCAGAAGCTGACTGGAAACTAGTGCAGCATCAGATGCAGGTTTTGGCTTTGCTCCTGATTACCTAAAGCAAAGAGGCAACAGCAGGCACATACTGAACCAGCTGGAGCCTTTGGGTTTTTGCATAACAGTACATGTTGCATGTGATGCTGTACTGGGTCCTAATGGTTTCCCTTTGCCACTCAGATGGATGGGATCAGGAGTGCTCAGCAAGAAATTCCTGTCAGAAACTGTAATGACCCCACAAGCAGCCTGCTGGAAGGCCCAGCCCTACAGCCGCTCTTCTGTCAGCTCTTGCTCTGCCAAAAATCCTACCATCTTCAAGGGAATAAGAACTGAAGGAGAATTGACTGCAGGAGCTGGCGTATGTTTCTTCCTTCACTTTCCTGCTAAGAGCCAAGTTCAGGCCCTTAGGGCTCTGAGTTTCTCTTGCTCCAGCTGATGACCTCACAAACACCTAGAGCAGGGGAGGAACACAGCTCCCTGCACAGCTTTAAATGTTTGTGTTTCCCTGCAAATGCTCATGACATCATTGACACTTGAGGACCTGAACTCTGGTCTTGGCAGGTAAAAGCCTTTTGGGTCACCTTACATTGGGGTTCCTGCTCTTGATGAATATTTATTTAATGATTGCTGAATGGCTACAATTAAATGATTGTAAAGCACAGCCTAAAATGCAGTGGTAATAAATTCTTAATAGCTGATGCTATAACAAGCAGTTACAAAAAATATATAGTAATGTGTAGATTGTTAACACAATGTCTGGGCTTGTTTAATGCAGGGCTTTAAATAGTTACAATGCATGCTATTAAAACGGCACATAAAATTCGTAACTAGTAAATAAAGGGTCCAATTCAAGCAACAAAATATTTCCAGGCTTCAGTAGTGCAGAAGCCACAGAAGATTGATTTTGTGAGCATGCCTTCTGCTGTGTTGCCTGTGGCTATATGGACCCCAAATCATACTTAAAGTAGAGTGAAATTTTTCAGTTCCATTTTACTTACCGCTATGTAGGAACAGATTAGAAATGGGAGTCTGTAAACTCTTGCTTTGTTGCAGTAGCAGTCAGTGGACTCAGTTACATGAACAAGAACTAGTCCCATGAGTAAAGGTTCAAAAGATTAGGCCCCTCTGAACCTTAACTGAACTGTGTGAATCATGTTAATTCATTGTCTAGCAAAAAACAGCTCCAGGCTCCTGTTCCTGCCACTTCACACTGATGAACTGTATTTAAGAGGTCATCAGCCCATTCAAAGCCACTTCAGTATCTTGCTTTTCAGGGTCAGTCACTTTCTGTGCATTATAGAAGCTCCAGTTCTTGTTGCTCGGGTCTTTCACACACTCCCTCAGCTATATTCAGAGAAACCCTCAGGTTATGCTTTCTAGGGACCAAGAGATCTGGTCGTCTTCTGCCAGATTGATAGAAAGGCTACCTTTATTTTTTTGGTAGGACCATAAATATTCCCCCTCAGTTGACACGGAGTAAGGTTCAACTCACTTTAAGTTATGCTATCATAACCTGGTCACATGGGCAGGATGCTTAGCACCAACAATGTACTGAAGGACAGGTCTTCTCATGAAAACGGGGTTATATAAAGAGGAACCTAGGAAGTGCCTTCCCACTATATGGGGTAGCAAGAGCAAAGGTATTGAAACAGATTCTGACAAGTCACCCCAGGGCATGTGGTCACCTTACCCTAAATGTGCAGCTGGGCTAAAGTTGTCAGTCTGGGAGCCCCTACTAAATTTGGAAGTGCTATTCAGATTACATCCTCCAGCTGCTGGAGAGATTTTCTTACAAACAGTTGGCTGCTCAAATACCCTGTGCATCCCTAGAAACTGCCAGTGTCTCAACTTTCAAATCCAGCCAGCCCTACCTCTATCATCACTGTAGTTGATTCATACTGCCTATATCCCACAACACTCCCAGCAATCGATAAATTATGGCTCCAGAGAGACTATCAGGTTAACCAGCAAGAAGGAAGAATGATGATTGCAATACTTGTCATTTGTGCAGAGATGTAACAGATGAAGCACAAACATATGTTACCTTAAAGGAATTTTTCCAAGGGATAGGTTTTCTGCAATATGTCTATCTGACTTTGAAATATTTGATTGGCATGAACCTGATTTGACCTACTTTGGCCAAGCCCTGGTCTCCAGACTGGTCTTTTACCATCAGAAATAAAATATAGTCCATCTAAAGTATGTTCAAGATGACATCTTAAATAAGATGACAGGGTTACAATATGAACCAGTCTGTCAAAAAATGAATGCTGAGCATTGGGTTTGCAGGGTGAACAATCAATTAAATATTTACTGAACTGAGCAAACTATACCGTTCTACAAATATATAGACTCAAATATATAGATATTTTAATCACACTAGTATTTCATGGATCATTGAGACAAGAATATCAATGGCCTGAAAACTTCTTTGTTTGACTCAGAAAATATACAGCAAAAGGCTAATGAGGTAATACTTTGCTAGGGGAATGGCTTCAAATTTAACTCATAGGGCAGAATAATTCCTCTTGAATCAAACACAGTATTTTGTAAATCTTTCTGCCCCTATGCTAGTCCTCACATGCAGCTTAGGGTTTAGAAGAAAGAAATGACACCACCTGGTCATCATTCACCCTGCCCGTGAGTATTGCAACTTAAATACATTAAGAATAAAGTAATATGAGTTTCCCAGGACTGGGATTTATGTTAAGGAATTTTATGTTCTGGCCCTCTCACATTGCAGTCCCAAACAGTGCTAGATACTGAGAAGCATAGTTTGGTGCATCTGAATACAATTAAAATTGAGCTGGCGTATCTGCAATAATACAGTCCAAATGGGCATACTTTGTTGCTTGTCCCATTCACCCAAATGGTCATGGAAAAATTCTCACGCAAGAATTACCATGAGAAGAATGAAAGAGACAACATGAAAAAGCATCAAAACAGTTTCAAGGCTGTTTTAAAACAATACAATATAGACAATACACAGTCTCCCTGTGAATAGCTTACTGCTTTAGTAACTATGCCTTCTGTTTCCCCATCACTGCTACTTGTCTCATTCATCTGTGCCTTGTCGTTTAGACAGCAAGTTCTTTGGGGCTCATTAGCTCTGATTTTCGCCACCTGGCACACTGAGCTTCCCCAAGCTCATGGGCCTCAATAAAAATGCTAAGGAAATAATAAACAATAATGTTTGGCCAAGAGTCGTAGTGCTAAATGTGGGAATCACCAACCATGCAACATCTATGACCTATGTTTGAGAGGAAGTCAGAGCTGATGATCATAATGACCTTCAGGTCTATGAAAGGATTGCTCAGTTACAATTCTCCAGCTAAAATCTATTTATATTTAATTAAATTGTATTACACAGTTCAGCTAAAATTACTACCTCAAGTACAAACTGACTCAAAATTAATCTAAATATAGTACTAACATTTCTCTTGCTTGGTTAAATAATTACTATGATACACTTTCAATAGGGCAAAGACCAGAAATATCTTATATGAATATCATTAAGAGATGGGCAGGCAAGGTTCTTTGGGTAGATGTGATACCTTTTATTAGACCAACTAAATAGTTGGAAAAAAATATTCTTTGCAAGCTTTTGGGCACAAACACCCTTCTTCAGGCATAGAGAAACTGCTCGTATTATGCATTCTCAAAGGTAGAAAAGAAGCTAATTTACAACATGCAGGTCTGTGAAAATGCAAATGAGTAGTAGTTTGGAAGACAATAGGTAGAGCTAGGAAGGGAGGAGAGAGAAGGGAGGGAAATGTGTGAAGGAATGTAAGTGGTCAGCTGAAGGCAGGTTAACTGGGGTTATCAGACAGCAGGCAGGTTGCAATGTGTCATAAATGCAACGTTTATATTTAGAGTTTTTGTATCCAGTAGATTTATGAAGTGAAATTTGTAGGCTCATTTATGAAAGGTGTTTTGTAAATTCCCTTTGAGGATTAGAACTGAGAGATCAGAGAGGGAGCGATTGTCTTGTGAGAAGTGTGTACCCACAGGTGATTGGATATTTTTGTCTTTGATGGATTTTTGCTGTGCGTTCATTCTGGTATGCAGTTGTTTGGTTTCACCTACATATTGTCCATCAGGGCATTTGGCACACTGGAAGAGATATATTACATTTCTGGAGGTGCAGGTGTAAGATCCAGGAATGGTGGTGATTCTGTTGTGGGGTGTGGTTACTGTGGGAGTGGTGGACTTGTGTTGACTGGTTTTACATTTCTTGTCCTGGCCTGGCCTGGATCCATTTGGTGTGGCTTGGGCCATAGGAAATTTGTTTCTGGTGATGAGGTTAGCAAGGTCCAGTGCTTGTTTGAAGGCTAGGATGGATTGTTCTGGAAAGAAATCTTTAAGATTTGGGTCTTCTTCTAGGATGGGTTGCAATCGTTTGAGGATTTTCTGTATAGGTTCCAGGGAAAGATAGTATGTCATAACTAATGGTGTGCGTTTCATGGGGATTTTCTTTTTGTACTGCAGCAACTCTTTGTGTGGTATCTGGGTGACTCTTTCAAAAGTGCAGTCTATCTCTGTGGAGGAGTGTCCTTGTTGGGTGAAAGCCCTTTTGGGATTTGTGAGGTGTTGACTGTGGGTAGATATGTATGTATGTTGGTCTGTGGGTTTCTTCTATATGATGATTTATATTTTATCATTCTGGGTATTGATCATGGTGTCTAAAAAGGAAATGTTGGTGCTGGAGTATTCAAGAGATAGCCTGATGGAGGGGTGATGATTACTGAATTTGTGATGGAAATCAGAGACTGCAGGTTTTCAGCCCAAATGATAACACTGTCATCTATATATCTTAGGTATAGCATGAATTTGATGGTGCAGCTCTTGAGGAATTCTTCTTCCAGGTGGGCCATAAAAAGAATGGCACACTGTGGGGCAATATGGTGCCCATAGCTGTGCTTATGGTCTGGGGGAAGTGTTGGTTGTTGAGATGAGCATGTTAAGATTGCATGGTTCAACATGTGCAAAATGCATCACAAAAAAAAGAAATAGTTAAAAGACTTAAACAAGCTAAAACTAAGAGGGATTAAACTAGTCATTAAATACATATTTTTAAATGATTTTACAAGTAGCTCCGCATAAACACATTGTTATTTATAATCTTTATCCTCTCATTAATTATTTTAATGTACAACCTCCTCTTCAACAACCTGCCTAGATTACTTTAGTTAGACAAAATAACTTAATTTATTTCATTGTTTGGTTTATAATGGGCATTTCAATAAAATGAAACATAATTTATTTGCATGTGTGAATTTACTGAGTGAAAAGTGGTATATTAAAACTTGAGCTGAACAAATGGTTTGGAGTGAATAATTTATTCAGCAAATTTTGCCTCATTTTCTGTTTGTAAATTTTCTATGGAAAGCTACTTATTTTCTTCAATGTATTCATTATTGGACATTATATGCAGAATAATCTCTACAATTAATTATCTGTCTGTAAATCATTCATACTTCATTTGTTGCCCTTGTTCCATATTTGACATTTCAGACATACTGGTTAGCTTTCATTGGATACAGAGGTCACATGACATCATTCTAATCTCTGATAGATTCAAGTTGCTGGTGGGAATAAGTTCTAGATTTTTTTTCTGTGAATATAGTATAAGGCTTCTGGCACACATTCCTTTAACACATACATGGCAGGAGGTGGGATTCTGGGATTGGAGATCAGATCCCAGGCTCCCTCTGCACTGGCATGTTGAAAGCTGGGTGCCTGCAGGGCCAGGGCCAGGGCCAAAAATCAGTCAATTGTTGGCCCCAGCCCAGACCTGATACACATTCAATTTAGAGTGCCATTGAAACCAGTCAAAAATATTCTACATTAAAAGTGTTCAACATTTTATGGCACCTGGTACCAAATGTAGCACCCTTGGCATTTATACCACCATTAACACATTAATCATGGCATAAAGGTAATGTATGGAAGGGACTTAAGAGTTACCATTTAATTGAATATTCATATAAAAAACTAGAACTCTTGGTTCCAAAATTATACCTTTTATTAGACCAACTGGAAAATGGCAAGAAAATTTCCTTTTCTGCAAGCTTTCAGGATCAAGGTCCCTTCGTCAGGCTCTGGGAAAAGTGTAGATGTTACAGGATGGTAATACGTCCCCATAGGTAGGAAATAAACTTCATTTTTGCACAGAGGGAGCTGAAGATGGAAGGTTGTCCCTCTGGGTCCATGAGAGTGTCTTTGTGAGCTGTGCTGAGTAGCTCTTTGATGTGTAGATCAGGTAGAATTACTTCCCTGGAGGTGTCAGATGGCAGGCAGGGAGGCAAAAAAAAAAAACCAAAAAAACTTCCTTGTTGTTCTGCAATGAAGTTTAAAATCCAAAAACGGCATTTTCCAGTTGGTCTATTAAAAGGTATAATTTTGGAACCAAGAGTTCTAGTTTTTTGTATGTCTTTTTGTCTCAGACAAACATGGCTACCAAGTACATCCATTGAACATTCATAGCTTTCAACTTGTTTGCTAGAATAAAAAAGTGAGTCTGAGCATAGCTGAAAGGTACACAAGGTTCCTTGGGTGAATTTGATATCTTACGGCATTTGAAGATTGTTTTGAGGAGTTCCATCCAGCTTACCTGGGAAATCTAGGAATTAATCTTTTATTTATCCTTAGGATACTCTTCTTATAAAACAGGGGTGTCAAACTCATGGGCCAGATGAGTGGTTCAGGGCCAGTCCACAGGCCAGATTGGGCCCATGGACCAACCTCCCCCTACTTTACTCTCCCTGTCAGCACACATGGTGCCTGCTATGGAACCTGTACCACATGCAGTGCCCATTCCAGCCAGTCCAGGATCTGGTCCACATGCATGATACCTCCTGGACTGATCCAGGCAAGTACCACATGCAGCGCAGTCCTGGACTGGCCAAAGTAGGTGCCACATGTAGCGCAGATCCTAGACCAGCTAGAGTGGGGACCACTTGCAGTGTGTCCAAGGCCCCACATTCAAAGTAGATCTGGCAACATGTGGGCCAATTCAGACCGAGGGACGTTACCAGATGATGAGGCTCCATGAGGCACACAACAGGGATAAAAAAGTGCTTGCTCTGATGAGGTATGAAAGTTCTTATGTTCCAGGACTAAGTAGAGCACACACGTTTCACTGAACTTCCTGGTCAACATGCTTCTACTCTCTCCCTGGAAGACCACTCCCTGGAGACAGCTGAATCAGAACTTTTCCCAATATCTCTAGTACTAGGGCAGTTCTGCCAGATACAGCAGTGGTAAAAGCATTAACAGGGGAATAATGATGATGTTTTTACAATGGTATCATACTCGGAACAGGGTTAGATGATGGGATGATAAAAAGGAAAGCTTATGCCTGCCACCCCTGGGAGGGAAATGTTCTCATGGTAGCCCAACAGTCTGGAATGTGCTAATGTAGAAAAGTTCTTTTGGGAGAGGCAAAGTCTCCACAATGCAGTCAATTCCTGACATCTCCGTGGAGGCTGTCAGTAATTTGAAATAACCCTAGTGGGTTTATGACATAGGCACCTCTCCACTGAAATTCAAGCAGTCTGTTTCTTTTTTAAGTAAACAAATGATTGTTATTTTGAAAAGCTGCCCATTCCTAATATAATTAAATGGTGCGATTCCTGGAGGGACCACAGAAGTGAGTTGGAAGTTATAAAGCTGCCTCTATCTCAGTCTCATTTGGCAACACAATCCACATGCTGCTATCCAAAATGCTCATGAGACTCCATTACTACAGGAAACCTCAGAGAAGCAAGATAGATCAGAGCTTTTGGCTTCCCAACCTAGGCTTGGCAATACTGAAGCATTTTATATGGAAAGAAAGAAAGTAGAAAAGATAAAGGTCAGCAGTAAATAGCAAATGAAGGCCAAAACACTTGAAAACAGTCTATGACTCAGAAGTGCCTCAGATCGGTCGTTAGCCAAACCACATGGAATGGGATTTGTCAAGAAAGGGAAGGTATTGTGGACAGGCAGGATCAGAAGCAGCTCTTATTCTTGAAGTTCGTACATGGAATGACAGATGGTCTTGTAGTTAAGACACAGAAAATATGAATACTATTTCTGCTGTAGATGTCTTGTGTGACACCAGGCATGTCACACAGGTGTTGGAGATCACCAGCTGTAGCCTGGGGTAAAATTGGACAAGTAGCATGCTACTTCTAAAATACCAGTTTTTGGTCCTGGACTAACCAGCTGCCAACAGCAAATATCAGAATAAAAGAAGCACATCCATTACAGAATTTTCAGGTCTCTCTCTCTTTCACAAAGTGCTCAGAGATGCACAAAAATATCTGACTTTTTATGCCAAAATTCAAATTAGAGGGAAATGGTCCATTTAAAGAAGGATACTATTTTGTAACTCATTCCAGAGAAGATAGCTCTTACTATGGCGGAGTGAGATCTACCTTGGAATATTTGTCCCAGATTTGAGAAAAATAGGTTTTCCCAGAATAACTCAGTTGTCACTACCTTACCTTACTTTCATTCCACCGGGGAAGAACATTCTCCCTGAGCAGAACAGTGCCTGTGCAAGGCAGTAGTGGAGGATAGAAGCAGTTCTGACATTCAGTTTAAACACAGTGAGTTAAAATTAAAGGGGAAAAAGTAACAGTAAGTGCTGGTGAAAGAACCTGGAATGTTCTCCACTAAGACATGTAATCACCCAAAGATTACATTCAACCTAGTTCATGCAAATCAAGCTTCTGCCTCGCTAAGTAACTAATGTACCTTAGCCATGCCCTATAGGGATCAGCACCTGGGGCAACTCAGAAGACTTCATGCCCATTCAATCTTCTGTCTCCCCAGAGAGCGCCAGCAACCAATTAGCACCATCTGTGTTGTGGCTACTTGTTCAGTTTAGTTTCTAGAGCCAGGCAAAAAATGATGGATGACTTTTTCTTCTGAAAAATGTGTCAAAATTCCACCAAACACACTATTTTTTTCTGAAAGTTAAATTAATGTGAAACAGATATTGCATATTGTAACAAGCTACCTATTGTAACAAACTGCCTGAGATGCAAGCCATGAGCTAAATGTTAAAGATTGTCCTACAAGCTTGCAAATAATTTTTCCAACTATTTGAGTTGGTCTAATAAAAGATATTGGATTTGCTCAAAGAACCTTGTCTGCCTATGTCCTTAGACCAACACAGATAAAAGCTATACCCCTGCCAATCTTCTGAGGCATTTTCTCTTCAGTTATCTTCAGGAAATATTGTTGTCAGTGAGTTGATAGTCATTATAGACCCCCACCCCCCAGGCTCATGCAATCAAATGACCAGGATGAGAAGAGAGAAGGTGGTATATAAGCAATTCTCTGCCCTCCCCCACAAAAAATGTTTTTATTGCGGTATCATAATATATTGAAATTAGATAAAGTAATGACCTTAACCAGAGTTAAAGAATCCTAAGAATTATCCCCAAACCCCAAATCAGTGTCCAAATGAAGAACCAAGGAGCCAAGACAAATATACCATGCAGGAACTGAAGAACTCCAGAGACAATCCAGGCTTATGGTTTGATTTTCTATTTGTATTTGTAACATTTCTTTGAATGCTAGAAGAAAAATGTAAGTGGAATGATTTCCAAAGTGCTAATGTGTGAATGCCTGGAAAGTCCATGATTAGTCATAATGCTTCTATTCTGCTCACACAGTTTCTTCCTGCCACAGACATTTGTAATTAGAACAGGGAGTAGTACCATTACTTACCCCTGGAAAGAATGAATAAATTGTCTTATCACAAAGCTCTCCTTACTAGTGAATACATTACAATTTATATTATAGTAATGGCCAGGAACCCAAGCCATGGACTGAGACCCACTGAGCTAGACTTCATGTAAACATGGAACAAAATGTCAGTCTCTGCTCCAAGAAACCCATTACTGTAATGGCAGGTGAGTTTTTGGAGTAAAAGGAAAAATGAAGTTCTGTCTAAACAGGGTAAACAATGTCTTCTTTCTGTATTTCAGAATGGCGTGGGTTTCACTCCATAAAGATGATTTACTGCGCCCAAAGATACGAAGTGCTTCAAGCCTGCCATCCCAAAAACAGAGCAATTATCAAACACCTCCTCTGGAAGAGCTTCAGCGCCTGCTTTGGGCTCACAAACCTTCCACAGGCCACGTGAATGAAGTCTGGCCAAACCTCTTTGTGGGAGATGTGTAAGTGAGAGGGTATTCAGTAGAGCCATTCAAAAGGGACCCAACTCAGATGAAAACTAGGAGATAAGTGGGGGCAGGTCTCTGAAATGCAATCCCTTGAGAATGAAAGGTTTAAAAATCAGCTAACAAAGTCTAAACCGGGGCAGGCAAAATATGACCTGCAGGCCAGATCTGGCCCACTAGGCTATTCTATCCAGCCTGTGGGGCCCCTAAAAAAATGGTAAATTTATATTTATTTGCTCCTGGCTGCCTACCAAAGCTGACAGGAGCCAGGGGCAGTAGGACCCAGGGAGAGCCCTCAGCAGAACTGAACAGGCCAGCCCCACCCACCCCCTGCCATTTCACTCTCTTCCTGCCCTCCAGCACCTGGCTGCATCACTGGACCAGGGAGCACAGGGCTGCACTGGTACATGTGTATGTTTGTATAGGCAGGGGCAGTATATCTCTGTGCAGGCAGGGGCAAAGTGTCTGTGTGTGCAGGCAGGGGCAGTGAATGTGTGTGTGTGTGTGTTCACAGGGTGAGTCCCACACACACCCACCATACATATGTGCCCATACCCCACCTCGCATTGTCATACATGCAGGCCCCCACACCCACATCCCCTCATACATCCTAGCCACCCTCCCCCCACATATCCCATATCCCCACATCCCACCCACACCCCACATTCCCCCCCAAACCTATATGCACCCCTCACAATATACAACAGTAAGACTTCATTTTAAGCTATTGTGCAATCACCTCTATGTGCACTACACAAACACATACAAATCAGGACAAAAGTATTTTTTGAAATCAAATTCATGAATGCTGTCTATGTTTGCTTTTTAGAATATAATTTGGTATTTTTCTGGTTCTTAAGTTTGCAGAAGGTAAGATTCGGAATGATAGCCAGCATGGCTTTGTTGCAGGCAGGTCTCGCCTTAGTATTGTGCAATCACCTCTATGTGCACTACACAAACACATACAAATCAGGACAAAAGTATTTTTTGAAATCAAATTCATGAATGCTGTCTATGTTTGCTTTTTAGAATATAATTTGGTATTTTTCTGGTTCTTAAGTTTGCAGAAGGTAAGATTCGGAATGATAGCCAGCATGGCTTTGTTGCAGGCAGGTCTCGCCTTAGCAACCTCATTTCCTTCTATGACCAGGTAACTGACCACCTGGACATGAGAGAGCAGGTTGACATTGTATACCTTGACTTCCAAAAAGCCTTTGATCTAGTATCCCATGATATCCTCATGAGAAAATTGGAGGATTGTGGGCTTAACTCTGAGACAGTCAGGTGGGTGAGGAACTGGCTGCAGGATAGGACCCAGAAAGTCAGAGTGAATGGATCTGTGTCATCCTGGCAAGAAAAGGGCAGTGGCGTCCCGCAGGTCCAGTACTTTTCAACATCTTTATTAACAATTTGGTGAAGAGCTCACTGGCCAAGTTCACGAACGACACCAAGTTATAGGGAAGTGTGGTCATACTTGAAGATAGTCTACAGATACAGGCAGACCTCGACAGGCTAGCAAGTTGGGTGAATCAGAATCTGATGAAGTTCAATGTTGAGAAATGTGAAGTGATTCACCTCGGGGCGAGCAACCCCCAACACACCTACAGGCTTCGTGGCACCAGACTGGCTAGCACCACAAATGAAAGGGACCTGGGGGTAATAATAGACCACGGTATGAATACGACCCACCAGTGCGATGCTGTAGCCAGTAGGGCAAACAATACTCTGGCATACATCAATTGATGCGTCTCCAGCAAAACCAAGGAGGTGATTCTTCCACTCTACTCAGCACTAGTGAGACCGCAGCTAGAGTACTGCATCCAGTTTTGGGCACCACACTTTAACAAGGACGTGGACAAGCTTGAGAGAGTCCAAAGAAGAGCCAACCATATGATCAGATCTTACATGGCAGGCCATTCAAGGAAAGGATGAGGGATCTGGGACTCATCAGCCTGAAGAAAAAAAGGCTTAGAGGGGACTTGGTAGCAGTTGACTCCGACTCCTACACTAAGGGAGTACATCAAAGGCTTAGTGAGCAACTGTTCACCAGGGCACCTGAGGGGAAAACTGGGAGTAATGGCCACAAACTCCTGGAAGACTGATTCAGGCTCAACATTAGGAAAAACTTCTTCAGAGTCAGGGTGTCCAGACTGTGGAATAATCTTCCTCTAGAGGTGGTGCAATCTCCTACCCTGGAAATATTCAAGAGGAGACTAGACAGTCACCTTGCTGGGGTCACCTGACCCCCAGTTATCTTTCCTGCTTGGTGCAGGGGGCTGGACCCATTTATATTGCAAGGTCCCCTTCAGCCTTACAATCTATGAATCTATGAAATGGCAAAACCCCTTGCTGAAAGGAGTACTTCCAGGAGTGAGGGGAGGGACTTTGGGTGGCATAGTTCAGGGGTTAGGGAGCGGGACTTCCAGTCACAAGATGGCGACCAGGGGGCGGGTACCTGTCAAGGGGTGGGGCTACCCATGTGGCCCTCAACAGCTTGCCAAAAATTGGTAAAGCAGCCCTCCACCCAAAATAATTGCCTGCCCCTGGTCTAAACCCTAGGTCTGGCTCAATGGTACTTAGGATCCAAGGCAGTGGGGTGGTGAAGGCAGCCTTATACTCCTTCATGCCACTTCAGTGAACATGAGTCTTTCCTCAGTATTGGTGCAGGCATCAGTAGCTCAACTGAGGGGGATGGGAGAGACTGGGGCAGCAGCCCTGGCCTTTTGGTAGCCAGGGTTTGAAGCAGCACAAAAACAGCCACCACCACATCTGGCAGGTGCCTGTACCATTGCCACAAAGAGTGCAGCAGCCAGTGCTCCCTCATGTGCCAAACCTCCCCTGTTATACCACTGCACTACATCACTATGTGTCAGTGCAGTAGCTAGTACAATTTTGGTACTTAAACAATATTGATCATCCTGCTTTTCCCTTGAGCCATTAGCACAGCCAGTTTCCTGTAGTAGTGAGCACTAGATCAATATTTGATCAGTGATATATATCTCCTATACAGACAAAAACCCAAGTCAGTCTTGCTAGTATAGATGGTTGGGAAATACTTCCAATTTCCACATGAAAATGTTTGGCCAAAAATGAATATCCTCCCCTCCCAACATCCCCCCCTCCTGAAACAGTTTAGTTTTACAATGAAAATAAATGGTAAAAATGGAAAAAATTCTGCAACACCTGTACTCTCAAAGAGCCATTTTTACATTAAAAAAGACAATGTGATAGAAAACTTTTGACCAGTTCCAATGGCTAGATAGCACCTAGCACAATTTTGCACTATATTTTTAATCCTTAGAATAACACATCCACATGGAAGCCCCTTCTTTTATATTTTGTTCAAGGTTTAGGTAGGGCTGCAGAAAGAGAAATCCCTGCAGCACACCCTGAGTAACCCGGCAATCCCTCTTGCAGGTATACAGCTCGTGACAAAGATCAGCTGCAACAGATGGGCATCTCCAACATTGTGAATGCTGCTGCAGGCAGATTTCACATCAACACTGGAGCCAAGTTCTACAGAGACCTGCCTGTGGATTACTATGGAATAGAAGCAGATGATGATCCAAATTTTGATCTCAGCATTTACTTCTATCCTGTTGCTAGGTATATAAGAGCTGCACTAAAGTCTCCAAGAGGTAACACCACCAGTATCCATATTATATTGCTTTAGCACAAATCAAGTCATCAGCCCAAACCAGTTCCTTATGAGAACTGAAATACCCAATCCACTCAGTGACCCAGATACCACCAAATGTTCATAGCTAATCAGATACCACAGCTATCTCATCAGCTATAAAGAGAAGATGAGCAGCTTTGTACTCAGATTTCAGCTCTGCCAAGAGAAGGAGACACACAGTTTTACTCCCTTTGAAATCTATTTCCCTATCCCCTACTCTGCTTACAATTTATGCCTCTTAGATGACCAGATCCAAAACATACTTCCAAGATTTGCACTGACCCCTGTAGGGTTTATATCAGGTCAGGATCCCAGAATATGGTATTTAGAGATCCAAATCCTGGACTCCAGGACTCAAGTAGAGTGGATGAGCTGTGCACTGTGGAGAAAAAACACTGGCAAGAGCTGGTGTGACTACCACTAGTGACAACATAGGGAAAGGGACCTTTTTAAGAGTCACTGTGTTATAATGAGTTGCCTCAATATCTAACAGTTACAAAAATATCTGTGCCTAGTTACTGTGGAGATTCAGTGATCAACAGCCTTCTTAACTGTTCCCATCACTTGTGGAGTTGTCTTTCACTGGGGTTCAGATTGAAGCATCAAGAGCCATTAGATTACCATTGCTAAAAAATGTATGTGTTGTTAGTTCCAGATTACAGCTTTCTTCTGTATGGCCATTTCTAAGTTCTTATATTTAGAAGTAAACATCAGCAGATTTATAGAACCAGAAGTCAAAATTTAAGCCCACCTCACGCTCCCCCCCCGACACACATAAGAAAACAGAGATAGAATTCTTGCTTTCCATAAGCATCTCCTGTAATGCTAGCAAACCAGAGCTGTGCTGGCATAACAATAAGAAGACTAGAAGATATATGCTAGGGAAAATTAATTAAAAAGAACCGTTTTTTTTCCCCAAAACTTTAAATGGGTTATCAAGATTGCAAGGAGGTGATAGAAATGTTGCTACTTCCTGATCAGCTTTGGTCTCTTTACATCCTGTAGTGGAAAGGAGCTTGCATTAACTTTCTGCTAGGACTGCCTCTGAGTCAGCTATCTCTGGATCCAGAATGCTGTGCCAGAGGTGTAGACTGCACAACAAATCTGGCCTATTAAGTGCAAATCTGTAGTGGGACGATTATTCATTGTGCCATAAAACCTTAATTTTCATGCTCAAAATTCAGTGATCAAAGACATATATAGAGGACAAGGGGGATCAACAGCAAATAGGCAGAGCTCTTTTCCTCCCAGCACCACCTGGGGTGACGAGGAACAATGGTCATAAGCTGATGGAGAATAGGTTTAGGTTGGAGATCAGAAGGCAATATTTTACAGTTAGGGTTGCCAAAATCTGGAACCAACTTCCCAGGGAAGTGGTCCTCGCCCCTACCTTGGGCAAATTCAAGAGGAGGTTGGATGATCACCTGTCTGGGGTCTTGTGAACCTAGCATTCATTCCTGCCTGTGGCAGGGAGTCAGGCTAGATGATCTGTTCAGGTCCCTCCTGACCCTAACTACTATGAAACTATGACAGCAATGCACCTAAAGCCTTGTTCTGAGTCTGTTATTGTGAATTTTTGCAAAAATATTGGCTTAACAAAAACAGAGAAATAAGAGCAATTATAAACAGTTGCCTTTGCCTTCTTGGTGGAAAACTGAGATTCATGTATGTAATCAAAAGCACCAAAGTTCAGTGAAAGACCACTTCCTACTCCAGCTTGGGCTATTTACAGTTGAAGTTAGTACTGGAGAAGCTTCATGTAGAGGCAGAATCCAGATCACCTTCTGATATAGGGCAAATAGTAAACAGAAAAAGGGGAGACAATTTTACCCACAAAGGAAAAGCAAAGTATTGGTGAGTGCGTACATGGACAATGAAAAGGCAAAATTTAAGGAAGTAAGCCCTATTGCTATAAGGTAGAAATGCAGTATAGGTATGCAGTAAGAGTAGATGAAGTGTTCACAGCTGGAATGGATATTTAATTTGTCTTCTTATGCCTACTGATAATACTTTGCTGAACTCCCCAAGTCCATCTGGCAGCAGGAGTCCTGGGAATGAAAAGAAAGCCAAATTCAAATACATACAATCCAGCTGTTGCTGACATTCATTGTTTTAAAGAGGGGGGAACCATTTGGAATGTATGTGAAAAAGATGCTCTGGAAGCATAATTCCCTGTGCTACAAAAACTTAGCAGTGAAATACCAAAGTTTTGTGTAGGTGAAAAGGGGTAAGGGATTTGTTATGTACATCATCTAGAAGAAGGGAAAATAAGCTGCATTCATTTAAAATAAGTGATGCAGAACAATATATATGCACCAGGTGGTATGAGATCCATTCAATTAAAAGTCATGATGTAAGAAGGTACTTTTGCTTGACTGAGAAACCATTCAAGAAAATGCCCACATAATTACAGCCAGCTAGCACAACAACGCTTTTTAAAAGGGATTTTATTAACTTACCCATCTGGGAAGATACTGGGTCAAGCTTAAGAATATGCAAAGCAAAAACATACTTTAAAAAAAATTAAAAGCTGGAACTCAAGTCCTTTCTTCTTAGTATGATATGAAAGCTGAAGCCAGGCATAAAGCCACTGTACCTCCAGCAACTTCAACAGGCTTCCTCTGGATTTACACTGGCATAACTAAAGCAAGATAAGGGTTTTGTTTTTAAAGCAATTCCACCGCTTCTCTGATACTAGAACCTAATGATGGACTGCTGTGAGTATTTTACCTCTAAATAGAAACTATTGTCTTTGTCTCCTTCTTACCCTACTATTTTGGAGCAGAGGTGGCTAATGTTCCACTTGTTGACCTCAGTGTGCAGAGTTTTCATTACCATAGAGAATAAAGGATTCTGAGGCTGCTGTAGGCAGGCCACATGACCATAATGAACTTTTTGGGCTCATGCTCTGCTTAAAAACCACCCATCAGGAGATATGTCACCTTTGGCTTCAACTGACAACGTAATGACAGAGCAGCTTGAGAATCCCCATTCATGGATCAGCAAGGTCCAGAAGTGAGATAAATTACTTCCAGATAAATTAATTCATACAGCCATATTAATTTAGACATTTCTAATCTGTGATCCATTACTGAACTTGTTTATGTGAGACAGGAGAAGTTACTAGGAAAGAATGACACTATGAATATTGATTTTGGCCCGTTGCATGGGTCTGTGTGCAATTCGAATTTTTTCAGAATCTAACTAAATGCAAATACAAATCTGCATATTTTGATAAAGTCTGTGGTGGGAACAAAAATAATTTGTAAACACAGATGAGAGAAGGTTATGGAAAATTATTAAACTAACAACATGCAAACAGAAAGTTTTGCAAATAGAGAATGTTTCTGTTATTGATCTCTGAACATATTTAAAATAGGCAGATGAAAAACCATCCATTAACTCACTGAAGTGTAAGACATGTATAGAAGGCCTTACTTTAAGCACTGGGTGGGTATAAATGCAAAAGCTGATCTCATATTAAAGAAGGCAGGGTGGTGATTGCTTTAACTGGGGGTGCAGACAGAAGTGACATTTGTTGTACAATTGGCCTCCTGAACGCGCTCTATACCCATGCCATGACAGAAGTGCATGGCTACAGAAGTGTGTGGCTGCTTTAAAAGTGACCAACCACGTGACAAATTAACCCTCACCTAATAAGGGATCAGATGAAGGTGCTCCCAAGTGGAGTGCCTTAGGTAACATGTGTCAATCCCTCATGACATCAGGGCTATCTGCAGGAAGGGAAGGGGAGAAGGGAGAAGAGGGAGCTGCAGGCTGGGGTTTGCCAAGCTTGAGATGGGGGGTGGTGTGGATTGGAGCTGCCCCACCTTGTGGCCCACCTCCCAGCCCCCTCTCCCTCCAGCTCAGTCTGGGCAAACCCCGTCCCACAGCTCCCTCCCTCCTTTCTGCCCCCTCCCTTCCTATAGACAGCACTGGAGTTGGGGGAAAGACAGGGCTAGGGGATAGAGGCTGCAGGCAGGCTCCTCCACTTGATCAGGTCCAAAGTGAAGTTCAATCCCACCCTCACTCCCACCCCCAACAAAACAGGTGTATATCTGTTGGGTCAGGGTGGTCACTAACACATGGCGCTTTCTGTGAAGTTCCATGAATTAGAGAGGGGACCTGTGTTTGTCAGCGACAAAGGCTTTCTCTGCCATAGGCTTATTATGTATGTCACTTAACCACCCCAACCCACTTTTCTCCCAATCACCATTCTTAGCTACATGTATAAGACCTGTATGGGTTGAATGAAAGGTGCTATTCAATACATGGTTGGATAGTGGGATTTTGCTATTATTCAGCTGATAGTAAAGAAATAGACAATTGATGCTGCTTGTGATTATAGGATAGCGCCTAAACCTAACAAGTGATGAGAAAAACAAGGAAAAGTGAAAAGATTCACAGATGTATCTGCAAGAGAGTTTCTACTGAAGTTAACAGAGTCAGATCAGCAAGGCCCAGCTACATAGAATGAAGATCTAGCTCATGGCCTTAACCCATAAGAAATCTTTCCATGGGATATTTCAGGGTGTTTAGTTCAGTTTGTGATGAATAAGAAAAGGAAAATAAGGGATTATACACTTTAATGACTAATTTAATTTGCCAACTTGAAGTTGCTGACTTGAATTTGGCCAAAGTTGAACTTGCAATCTTTGGCCCTGGTGTGAGGCCTTTGATGTCAGTGGAGTTAAAGGGTAAAAAAGGAAGCATTATTGTCTTATACAAATCCCAGCCAGATGACAGTTATCATCTGCCATTGCTAAGAAGAGCCAGCTTCTGAGAGATGCAGTGTAGAACTTCTTTTAAAATGTGATATTTAACAACATGAGACGTAAAGAGCCCTTATTTCTCTTCAGCTAATTCCTAGTACATATAATAAATGTTAGGGCTGTGCGAAATTTCGGCAGCCATTTCATTTTGGAGGTGTTTCAGCCTGTTTCGGCAGCCAAAACACCA